TAGGAAATTGGAAATAACTCCTAATTATTTTCAAGTAACTTTCATTTTATACTTTTTGTTGATGGTGGACAAAGAAATGAATTTGTTATATTCCTCAATATATGTCTCTATGTCTCTACGTCTCTATCTATCTATCTATCTATCTATCTATCTATCTATCTATCTATCTATCTACTTATCTATCTATCAGTCTATCTATCATCTCTCTGAGTTATTTAACTTAATTTCATATAAAGAATCATGGCTAAACTGAAGAGACTACTCACTTTAGTATAGATGTGGAGTTAAGTAATATTTTCCTGATCCCTGGCCACTAAAGAGAACTTCCACAAAGGGTTTTTATAATTATTTAGTGGAAATAAGTTGTAAAAAAGAGGAATATATCTGAATTATTCCCTTCATGAATCAACTTCCTTTACTAATGAGCATGATGTTATAATTCTACCATAAGCAGTAATTTTAAGCTGTTTCTTAGTAGTGGTAATTGATTTGTATTATTTTTTTCATGTATCTACCCAAGGTGAGACATATCATCTTGGTTTCACAATGCATTATTATAAATAAATGAACCAAATAGACCCTACTCTCCCTGCAGACATGACAAAGGGGAATTTTCTTAACATGTGGCATATAACCTATACCCATTACTTCAGCTTTTCTCTGACAATTCTGTATAAAGAGATTTTAAAAAAAGAATGTAGTGAAAGAAGATTACGGGAAGGAAGATTATGGGGACAAGGAAGATGTCTGGGTATTCAGAACTATTTTTGAGGACTTTCAAGCATTTAGTGTATGTTACTTATTAGTTCATAAGTCTTTCTCCTCTAGAGACTATGCACTTAATGAAAGCAAGAACTGTATGTCTTATTTATATTTATTCATATTGATATTTCCAACACTGAATACAGTGTATAGAACATGGATGTTTGATGGATTTCAGTTGAATGGATAGTAGTAATTAAGCTCTGTAATAATATAATGATGAGCTCAGTGCCTAGCGTATAAAAATAACATTCTGGGTTAGCATCTGGGATAAAAAGCAAAGGAAAAAAGTGAGAAATTCTACCAGGAAGGAATTTCTAACACATATATAAGGATGATGAATCATAATTCATTCGTATTACTTTGATTTCCTCCAGAGAAGACTCTGAGACAATGGCTCAAATACAGTAATTTATTGTATAGAAGGTGACTATCGGAAACTCAGAAGGGGGGTAAGAAAGTTAGACATGGAAGGGAAGACAGCCAATAAATGGTGCACTGATGCAAATTCCCACTTTAGGAAACTAAATTGGGGAGTTTTAGGAGGCATATTAGAACAAATATCTCAGTGTTATCTCCCCTAATGTATAGGAATGGTGAAGGGACCTCAGGGGATGTTAATTCTCTAGCACTTTTACCTGTCACTGCAGGGGTGAAACATGGGCTCTGAGAAGGGATAATCCTCATATGAAGGAGTGCAAAATTTGGACATTGGAAGAAGGGGTAGCATGCAGAGTCTAATAGAAAGCACATCCCATCATGAGTATTTAAGAAATAAATAAAATATTTTTATTGAAATTTATGTTTATTTCTCAATGCTGATTAGCTTGTTAGAACATGACTACTTTTCAAATGCTTGGGCCAAGCTACTAAATAAATGGAAATGCTAGGTATTAATTTTGGTCTAGATGCCATAAAAGCATTACTAATTTTAAGGATGCAATGTACCAAGAAATTTTAAGAAATTTCTATGTAAACTGATGAGAACAGCCTTTCTATGCAGTGTATGATGGACTGTATGAGTCTATAAGACAGACTTCTGTAAAGTCATTTGGTCTTTTAGAAGTTGGGACAATCTCACATAAATTTGCATACACTGTTTCTGTATAAATGGAAAACATATCATATGTTGATATGTTCTTTCTGGTAATGTAATTTTTAATAAAAAAAATGAGGCTACAATTTTCCTTATATTGTCTTTGGGCTTTCAAACACCCAGAGCCCTTGACTTCAGAGAGTTTCTCAGATCTTCCATTGGCATCTTTGCTTAGATAAAACAAGAAGGTAGTTCTGGCTTGAAATCTTTGTTTTTACATTATCTTTTCAGCAGCTTATAGACAAATATCTACCCAGTCATGACAAATATGAATGTCATTGGGAGATATGTTTTTAAGTCTCATCACAGTTCCAGTCCTTAATTCCAACTGTGTGCATCTCTTTCTGTTTTACACATTTTTAATTGTTTATATTTTATATATTATTGTCTTTATATTTTAGATTTCTATTTTTATTTATTTACGTATAGAAGAACTGGTGTACGCCAGAGGTGTAGGGTGGGGGTGGTTAGAGGATTCACCAGAGACAAAGTGGGGAGCAAAACAGGTGGATCTACTGAAATACACTGCTGAAGGGAGCAGCAGGTGAGACAGGAGAGGTCTGCTGTACCATGTGGGTCAGCTCTCTGGCCAGGGATTGAACTCATGCTGCAGTGGCTGGTGATAGCGTGATAATGCTGAGTCTTAACCCCTGTGGCACTAGGGAGGCCCATTACTGTAAGTCTTTAAAATAACTTTTGGAATACACAAGGAATATTTTCAAAAGTACAGAGATGAGTGGTAAATAAAAATGAATGCACAACAGGTAGATAAAATATAGATTATCAGAATCACAATATCATAGGCATAGCATAAGAATGCCTATTGAATACTTACCACACCGAGACCCTATGCAGTTTATATGTATGTACACTTTCATCCTAACAGCACCCTTTTAGGTTCTATTATTCCATTAGGGTCACATTCATTCTGCTGATACTGTTGCCTCATACTCCCTAGGGCTTTACTGTGTAGCACATGGAGTTCTGACTTTTAAATGCCACACTCTGCCTCTCTTTGCCCAGTGGCATTTTTCATAGCTAGAGCAGGTTTGTTCTCTTTCAGAGCATTCTGAAAGTATAGTAGAATTCGTACAATCTGTTACTATCCCCCTCAGTGGTGTTTGGTGAGATGATTTCCCAAATAAATAGTCTGTACTCAAATATTCATTTCAGACTCTGGGGGAACCAAAACTAAGACCTACCTGAACATTCACTTGTGTATCCATACACACATAAATATAAAACTGCCTTAAAGTGGGGAGATAATGAGATGTATGAATCTGGGACTGGGAAAGCATTATGACAGCCTTGCATATTAGGAATTCCTCTGAAGGAGGCATGAGAGTCGAATGGATCACATCTTCACGAAGGGCACTATAAAAATATGGACTCAAGTTGTGAAAAGTAACCAAATACATGTTAGTCTTAAGTAGAGAAGGCAGAGGGAGGACGAGGTGACCCCAGTTTACATAGTCATGACTAACATGCTATAACCACAGACCAGTGATGGAGGGATGATAAAAATAGTCAGTTACTTACTGACTCTGGATTTTCATTTTCTCCCATTATTTGGTTAAATGATTGGGGGGGTAATGCATAATTATATATAAGTCTGATATCCTCAGATTTGAAATGTTGGCAGCTATAGTATTGTGGGTGTGTAGGGGAGGTGGCAGGAAATAAACTGGGTACTCTATTCACACATGTAAAACACACCCACACTGCATCCACCCATGTTGAGGAGGAAAGAAGCTATATTGGTCAAGGAAATGTGTTAAGATGATTTTTCAATTGCTTAATATCACTAGAACTGTTTTTTATTGATGTTATGTCTCTCGGATACTGGCATTTCTAAGAATTGTGATCAGCAGTAAATTCGGATGAGAATGAGGCTTTCTTAAGATCCCTGACTAATTTTGTTTTGTTTAGCCTTTAAAAATGCTTAATTTTTCAGTCATTTTCACCTTATTAAGCAATATCATCATTTGCTCTAAAGATTATTTTTCTTCTCAGTTACATTTCTATTTTGTTGTAATTTAAAATCTTAGGGTCGTGGTAGGCACGAGTGTGTGTGTATGTGTGTGTGTGTGAGAGAGAGTGAGTGTGTGAGTACTGAAAAGTCAATTACCAATGTTATTTAATATGATTGCTTGAAACTAGGTATGATCTCATTCGGCAGGCCATTCAGAACTCATTGGAAGCTGTGTACTTCTGCCCCGTCATTAGAGTGTAGGCTCTGTGTATGAAAGTTCATTAACATATTATGGATATATAATTTCTACCTAAAAAAAAAGAAAAACAATTACCTACCATGAGAGGAGTTCTGTTTTAAACTTCAACAGCTTCTCTGGCTTCCTTCTTTTTTGAGTCTACCTTCTCCTTACCTCTGGGTATTTGTTTTTAGCTAGAGAGCCTGGATCATTTAAGATCTCTCAAAGTAGGTTGTATAGAAGTAAAAATGGGTTAGGTAAAACTGAGGTTACTACAAATTACATGATGTCTCATTAAATAACTAATAGGAAATGAATATTTGGAAAAGCACTGCTCTTAAAGTAGAAAGTAGACATGGCCATTTACCTGCTGTTTGACTCTGGGACACTACTGACCTTTGGGAACTTTGGTGACTTTCAATGGGATCTGTAAGGTCTACCTTGAGGGTGGTTGGGAATAGAAGAGGGTATGTGTAGAGAGTTTTTAAAGAGTTCAGAGCTGTATAAATACAAAGTTATTACCATCATTATTTGCTTAGCAGGCAGCCATGTACAAATCATTTTAATGTGTATTGTTGAACTTGGTTTTCAGGAATAAATTGCAGATGAGAAAGAAGAACCATCCATTGCACACTTGAGAACACTGAGTCTGTGAAGTCAGTCAGTGTCACGAAGAAGCAATCTAACAACTTAAGAATAGTAGAAATGTCTGGTTGCTGAATTTAGGATTCAAATATGAATTCTCATTTAAATTATTTGTATCTAATAAATAAATACACATCTACAAATGCATACGCATATATGGAGCGGGACAAACAGGTGGAGGGCCAGAGAAAGAACTATCTGATGGACTTCATTCTGGGGCCACTGAACCCTTTAAGATCAAATTGTCATCTCAAATTCTGATCTACTGAAGATCTCCTTGCATTTACCTTTTTTGCTAATGTTTACGCAGACATCTCTGCTCCAGTTGCCAGCTTCTTCTGAATTCCAATTCTCTTCTCTATATATGTCTGGTGGTGCTCCAGCTGTGCATAGATTTTCCTGGTTATTCACGTGTAATGACGAAAGCCTTTACAGCTAGTGCTGCTCAACAGATTCTTTCACTGAATAATGGATGACTGTTGTTTCAGTGTTTCAACAGTTTTTCCACTGTTTTACTACTTCTGGTATAAGCTTCTTACCTTATTTCTGAAACCCTTACCTTCACCTTGGTTTTGTGCTTGCCTATACTTAAATTATTCTTTCTTTCCTATTCTAAGCATATTATGAATCCCTCTGATTTTTCCTCCATGAAACCCCCAGAATCTGACTTTCATCTCCAGTAGCTTATTCATATGAGTTCAGAATAGAATGTTGGCTTCATGTAGACTGGGAGGATGGCTGTCATTTCATCCCTGTATCTCCATTGTCTAAAGGAGGGACAGTGTGGGTAGTGGGGGACTGACATGTAGAGGATAAATAATAAATGCACACTGAATGAATAGATCAAGGTATATTCTAAAAGGAATTCTAATAACAACTAGGAAAGCAGTATCTATTGTATAGATAGTTTTCTTACCCCACTACATAAAGTAGATTTAGGAAGATGGTAATAGATTTTTAAGCAGATGGTAATGTTTACTAAAACCATATTTTAAACATGTTACATACTCCTTGACACTTATATTACTTCCCTTAAACAGAGCGCTCACTACAATTTCACTGATCATTTTTTTTCATTGCTTTTGTTTCATATTTTCTTTGCCCTGGAGATTGCTATTGTGCTGGATGTAGGCATATTCTGGAAACTTCATTTAAAAATTAATAAATGTATTTAATTGGAAAATAAGAACCACTATGTTTTCATGGGGACTGTGCAGATAATTCCTTGCTAACCCTTATCCCCAGATTCTTTTTCTTTAATGTCACTCTGTAGAATTGCTTTATCAACGAAAGCGTGTCTCCTGATGAAAACAGACTGTTCCTCAAAGAACAAATTAAGGACTTTGAGTCCTGGAGGTAAAACACTGTGAGTTCATCATGCAGTGCTGTAAAACAAATGTGTTATGTGCCTGGCAACTCTGTCACACAATCAACAGGAAGCCTGAAATGCCAAGAAGGGCTGATTTGCACATTTTCATCAGGTACTTGCAAATGCAATCAAAATTAGCCAATAGGATTTAAGGTTTCCTGACATGACTCAGCCTCTTGGAGTTCTTTTTTTTCCCCCTTTTGTTTTGTCTTTTTAACCAATCATGTATTTCACATTAAATGAATATGTTGAATTTTTGAAAACCATTTCAAATTAGAAGTTCTGTTTGAAAGGCAAGTATATTTTAATAAGAATGACCTCGCAAAGAGCAACACATTGTTGCGCACAAATTGCAGTCTCTCCTTAATCTCCTTCATCTTCTCCCTTCCCTCCTCCTATATTTTTGTCATTTCTCCCACCCTTCTGTTTCAGATCTTTTTCTCAATTATTGTCTTTTTCTTTAGTCTCTGGACCACATCTGTCCATAGCATGCTTATGGACAAAATTTAAAGTAGGACAGATACTGATTTCTTGGCAAATCATGTTTATTCATTCCACAAATACTTTTTGAGCAACAATTGTTGGCAAAGCATTCTGTTATACATACATGTAATTTTTATATCCTTTATAAAATGATTTATAACCAATCATTTATTTCACATTAAATGAATATGTTCACTTTAGGAAAACCATTTCAAATTAGAAGTGCTGTTTGAAAGTCAAGTGTACTTTAATAAGAATGACCTGACAAAGAGCAACACAGAAGAATTATGCACAGAAGAATTGTGCATAACAATAATCCTTAAAAAGAATGATTTCAGTGGTCTCCCAAACTAAGCTCTGTTGCTGTAAAAATCCATATATTTTTCATTGAATTCTATGTTAGTGTGAATAGTGAGAACCTATCCTGTAAGTTAAAATATTTAAAGATGGTTGAATGTAGAGTTAGAAATTTATGTAAAGTTCTGTCTAATAAAAATCTTTTGCTCTATACTATACTTTAAAATCAGGTTTCGTGATGCCTCCATTTCTATCCTTTTTACTCAGTGTTGCTTTAGCTATTCAGGACATTTTATGTCTTCATATAAATTTTAATACTTTTGTTCTATTTCCTCGATTTCTGCTGGGATTTTAATGGGGATTGCATTAAATCTGTATGTTGCTTTTGGGTTTTTTTTTTTTTTTTGGTTGTTGTTTTTAAAGATTTATTTATTTATGCATACAAGAACTAGGGTACAGGCCAGAGGTGTGGGAAGTGAGAGGATTCACCAGAGACAGAGTGGGGAACAGAACATGAAGACTGACTGAAATGCACTGCTGAGGGGTACAGACCAGAGGTGTGGAAGGTGAGAGGATTTACCAGAGACAGAGTGGGGAACAGAACACGAAGACTGACTGAAATGCACTCTCTGGCAGGCTGTGCTGCAGAGACTACGGATTGCTTCATAGTGCTGTGCTTTCAACCCCTTGAGCCACCAGGGAGGCTGCTGTATGTTGCTTTTGGTAGAATGGTTATTTTGACTACCTTGATCCTCTCTACCCATGAGTATGGAATGCCTGCCAATGTCTTTATCCATGTTCTGTGCCCTTTAACAGAGTTTGATAGTTTTTATTGTATAAATCCTTTACCTCCTTCATTAGACTAATTCCGAGGTATTTGATTCTTCTTGATATGCTTGTGAATGGATTTTTTTTATTTCTCTTTCTTCTCACTCATTACTTGTACATGAAAATGCAACAGAATTTTGTATATTGATTTCATAACCTGCCACTATCTATATTCAACTATTGTTGCTCATAGTTTTTAGTGTAGTCTTTGGTTTTTGTATATATAGCATCATATAGTCTGCAGATAATCATAGCTTCACTTCTTTTTCAATCTTTTTCAATCTCGATTCCTTTTATTTCCTGTTGTTGCTGGATTGTCCCAGCTAAAATCTTTAATACTAAATTAAACAGAAGTGGTGACAGTGTGCATCCTTGTCTTATTCTTGATCTTAAAGGGAAAGCTTTCAGTTTTCCATCATTAAGTATATGGACTGTAGGCTTGTGATTTGTAATATATATCCTTCACCACGTTGAGGTAGGTTCCTTTTTGTCCAACTTGTTAATGGTCTTTATCACAATGTTGATACATAATATCATAATGGATGTTGAATCTTATCGAATGCTTCTTCTGCATTTTTGAAAATTATCATGATTTTTCCTCATTCTCTTGTTAATATATTACATTAATTTAAAAGGTCTTTTATGAAATGCAGATCAGACAATTTAACAATCGATGATTAATTTGTTGTAATTGTAGTTAACACAGTCACAGTTTTACACCTTAGTTTAGGTTTTCATTCATGAGGTAGTCTATCTGGATTTTTTCTACAGACTTAAATGTATTTTTGTTATGGGAATATGTGTTGTATATGAGAACTTTACACACCCTGATTGGTGTGTTTTGGAGTTGATAGGGCAATATCTGTAAATCCCAGCTACAACACTGAAAATACATGTGCTTCTACTTATACAGTCAGCTCATATCCACAAACACCATCCCTGTGTTCCTCAGGTGTATCTGTCATTCAGCACCCTGAGTGAGGTTCCTGGGAGTTCTGTGCTAGAAATTCATCTATCAGGAGCAATTTGAGAAATAACCTCAGACTATAGACTAGATCTTGAACTAAAGGAACTGATTCATAAATAAAGTTATAGTTTTAATCGTGCTATGCATTGAAAATTATCTCCCCCTAAATTCATATGTTGACTTTCTAATACTCAGTACTTCAGAATTTAAACTTATTTCAAAATTTGATTTTTACTGGTGTAATTAGCTAGGTGAAGATGAGGCTCTACAAGACTATGATGGGCCCCAAGTGCAATAGGACTGGTGTCCTTATGAAAAGGGGAAATTTGGACACAGAAGCAGACACTTGATAGGGAGAAAACCAGGGACAGATTGATTCATGCTGCCACAAGACAAGCAACTATCAGAAGTTAGAAAAAAGGCCTGAAACAGATCCTCCCTTTGTGTTATCAAAAGGAACATGGCCCTGTGAACACACTGTTCTGAACTTTCGCCTCCAGAACTCCAAGATAATCAATTCTTGCTGCTTATGCCACTTAGTGTATGGTATTTTGTCATGGCAGGCCTAGGAAAATAACACAGTTAGTATCTGAGTCACCTATTCTTGTTAAATGAAAAAGACAAAATATGAGAAATTTGCAATACCCTTCAATAACCATCAAATCAGGGAAATATGTTTTTCTATCCTCTTAGAATCTCTATTCTGAAACAGGGATGATATAAGGATTTGAACCGACTAAGTTAAGAATAAATCAGAATAACACTGAGTGTCTTGAGGGAATTTAGATTGATAATTTATCTCTTGTAGATGGAAAACCATAAAAGCATTCGGGGCGGGGCAGTTTAAGTCAGAAACCAAAATCCTGTAGCAAAACTTATATATACTCCCAGAATCCTTGAGTGTTCTAATCTCCATTTATGCTACAGAGGTAACTATAAGACAAGCAAGATCTCAAGCAACCAGGTCCATATTGATTATGTATCAGCAGAGGCTGGAAGATTTTATTTGTTCTCTCAAATGGATTTTGAGAGTCTCCTTATAATCACATGCCCATGCACAACCAAATGAATCCAGCTTTTTAAAAAGCTGACAATATGAAAAGGAGATGCAGTGCCACATTTAAGGGTTTGAGAATATATCTTTGAAAATGAAATACGACAAAAACCTAGGCTGCTGACATCTTCCACTTTGCAGGGAAACAATGCTAGCAACTATAAGGTGTTAAGAATAACAGAGAATGAAATAGAACAAAAAAGAGTAAAATGTGGAAATTTAATGAACATTAATAAAGGTATCACAAAGTGGGAAAAACTGAAATATCCAGTTTTTAACTACAGTATCAAATTGACCTTTGACCATGTATGAATACGATCAATGCAATAACAATGCCTTTGCTCTTGCCATTTGCTTTCCAAAGCACTTGCTATATTATTTAATATTTACACATATCTTTGTAGTTGAATTCTCTTGTATTTTGCTTTACAGATAGGTAACCTGAAGCTTAGATAAGTCTGGTCCATTCTTAGGGCCAAACAGCTAACTGGCTGGTGGGCAGGCTGACATGACTCCAAAGTCAGTGCTTTGTGCTCTAACTCTGAGACAACAGAATGTCCCTTTCAAAGTTGATAATTTTTCAACAAAATAGAACAAATCTAGTTAGGTAATAATTTACCTAACTACTAAATCAATTAATCACTATAATAGTTGGGTACTTAAGAATTAACACTTTTCACATAACCTAACCTAAAGATCAAAGACTTGATCTCTACAGAAACAGGAGAATACCTGCCTACCTGCCTTAATATTGTTATCCATTACTTTTGAAGAAATAATAATGTTTTCCAATCACAGGAGTAAGTAACTAATAAGAGTGTTTTTGAAAACATCTTGTAATTCTCTCTCCATAGGTAAGAATTTTGGCTTTCTTGTCTCTCTGTGAGCAAGGAAGCTAAGGTCTGTAGACTAGGTGCTATGAACCATTTCTTATGTATTTTTGATGAAGCTTTATTTTTTGGTTGCCAAAAACTAAATGGTCTTACTGGGGAAAGTACTGCCAAGTTGGACACCTGTCATAGTTTACTCTCCTTGGTATTATTAGACATGGGTGCTATAGCCAATCTGTTTCAACAGTGCCTACAGTAAGACATTTCTTTTAAAATTCCTGGTCTTCATGAATTGTATATAGCCTTACTTTTCCTTTTTCTAAGAGGGAAAAAAATCTCTCTTAAAAAATGAGAAGCTGATATTGGCCTTTTGAATTGATTATTTAACTTTAAAAATCGGTCTTCTCAGAAACAAGTTGAATGAAAGCATGCACAAAATCCAAACTTTGATAGATAAATAGGTAATGAGGACGTTTAGTGTTCCCAGTATTTACTCACCTTTAAGATGCTCGCTATATATGGGTCTCCCTTGTGGTGCAGCGGGTTGAGCGCAGCACTGCAGAGGCTATCTGCAGTGTTGGTTCGATTTCTGGCTAGCCGGGGAGAAACCCACATGACACGGCAGACTTCTCCTGTCTCGGCCACTGCTCCCCTCAGCAGTATATTCCTTCCGTCTGCCTGTTCTGTTCCCCACTCTGTCTCTGGTGAATTCTCTTACCCTCCCACACATCTGGCCTATACCCCAGTTCTTGTATAAATAAATCTAAAAAAAACAGATGCTCGCTATAGCTGCATATGACATTGTTATTGTTTATTGTTTACTATATATTTTCCAGAAATTAACTACTTTCTTTTTTTTTCCCCAAAGATTTATTTATTTATTCATACAAGAACTGGGGCACAGGCCAGATGCGCGGGAGGGTGAGAGGATTCACCAGAGATAGAGCGGGGAACAGAACAGGCAGATGGACCGAAATACTCTGCTGAGGGGAGCAGAGGGCAAGACAGGAGAGGTCTGCTGCGCCATGTGGGACCCTTACTGGCCGGCCTGGATTGAATCGGCACTGCAGGGGCTGCAGACAGCTTCACAGCGCGGTGCTCAACCGCCTGCACCACTGGGAGGCCCTTAACTACTTTCTTGACTCAGCATTTAAACAATTCTGAATATATGATGTTAGCTCTTTTTATACAATATTACTCTTGAATTTCTAACTTCACTGAATAGTGGGAATAAACCCAAGTATATACCCAAGGAAAATGAAATTGCTGTCTTGAAGAGATGTCTGCACTTTCATGTTCATTTCAGCATTATTCACAATAGCCAAGCTATGGAAAAAATCTAAATGTCATACAAATTCAATGAAACAATCTTTAGTTATGAGAAAGAAGGAAATTCTGCCATTCGAGACATGAAGTGGTCTTAAGGGCATTATGACCAATGAAATACTGTATGATATCACTTGTCATATAATATATATGGATTCTAAAAAACTGAACCCATAGAGAACAGTATGATCGTTACCATGGGCTGGGACTGGGGGAAGTGGAGAGATGTTGGTGAAAGGGTATAAATTTTTAGTTATAGGAAAATTGATTCTGGAAATCTAATGTACAATATGGTGATTGCAGTTAATAATACTGTACTATATACTTGAAAGTTGTTGGGAGAATGGATATTAAATGTTCTTATCCAAAAAAGAAATGATAATTATGTGGCATGATGGAGGTCTTAGCTAATGCTATGGTGTTAATAATTTTGCAATACATAAGTGCATCTTAAGCTCACACAATGTTATATATCAATTATATTTCACCAAAGCTGGGAAAAATATGTCTTGAAATTACAAGGGTTTACCTCAACAAAAACTTACTTTTGTGTGTATGTGTGAATTCTGAAGCTGCTCGTGAGACTCCCCAAGGCAGTTATCACCCACACAGCTTTTCAGGAATCTCTTCTTGCTACAACTAACAATGCTTTCAGGTCAACAAGTGTCTTCTAGTATAGCTTCATTGAGGAATGAGAGATTTTGAAAGTTCAAACTATAGTTACCAGAAAAAATAGGATGATTACATTTTGAACTTCAGAGTAACAATGAATTGTTTAAATATCAGTTTGCTTTAGTATTGCAGGGTGCAATATTGTTTATCTTAAATTCAGGTCTAACTGGTTGACATGTATTTTAATTTGCTAAATGTGGCAATTTTAAGTCAAACCTAATTCATATCTAACCCTAGAAGTGACATACCTCTTTCTGCTCACTACTCATTGGCTAGAACTAGTCATGTGACCCTAACCTAAGTACAAAAAAGACTGGGAAATTTGGAAAAACACACAAATTATTTAGTGATGATTTTTTATTTTTCTAGTGGCTTTAGGGAGAAATCATTGTAGTTTAGAATAAAAAGAATCTCTGGTCACGTTTATTCTAAGTTACTTCTTTATTTTATAATGAGGCACTAAACCCAGAGAGGTGCAAGAATGTGCCCATTTTCTACATCTCTTAAATAATTGGGTTATATCTGAAGGGACTGACTCACAATCTAGAACTCCCTCTATTATACAATCTATAGCTCATGTCCGTAATAAAAAATTAATTCATGTGGAAATCCTTTCCATATGTAATGATCAAGAAACCAAACACCTAACTTACCTTAATGTACAATCCAACAAGTGTCTTGTCAGCAATAATCAGCAGAAAAACACTGGTGGAATAAAGTTACAGAATATAGTAAGAAGGATGGAAATCTTACCGTTCATATTAAAACATTTGACATTTTCATTTTTATTTTTTTTGCTTTTTCTCCTTTTCCTAGTAAATCAGAGTCCCTGCTACAATGCATTAAGTGATGGCCTAATCAGAGGCAAAAGATGGTCCAAGGTTTGCTTCAGCGAGTAAGAAGCTGGCACTAAAGGCATTTTAAGCATCTTCCAGCCATTTCACCCAGCTGATTGTAATGATTGTTGATTGTAATGATTTTTGAGCCATGCTATATTATAGGAAATGTCAAGATCTGTATTGTCCAAGAACTTACACATTTGAAAAAAGGAGTGTAGGGGATGTCGAAGTGGAGAAGAAACCACTAATTGTGGACAGTAGCTAATCTAATAGCTGCATTTTTTTCTTTGATAGATTGGAGTGGCTCTTTATCACTGCCAACCACTCCCCACTGCTCTTGCCTCCCCTTGTCTTTTCCACATCATCACTTCATGTTGATTGTTCCAACTGCAGGGTTTTATTTGTGAAGTGCTTTGTCATTTGTGCTAGCAAAAGGTCACCCTCTGCAACACTTCCAAAGCAGAACATCCCCTCATGATCGCTGTCATGCAAATTGTTTATCACTGTATTGCATAAGGTAGGGACTAGCCAAACATTTGGCAGGTGGCCATAGTAACAGAGTAGAAAACACATCTTATATCTATCTTTAAAATTACTTGAATTAGCACCTTTGCTTTGGAAAATATATTGACATATTTTTTGTTGTTTCTATTCCCTTCTGTTTCATTTTTTATGTTCAACTAAAAGTGCTCCTAATTTACTGCATTGAATTTGTGACTCAAAGAAGACCTTGTGTTTTCCAAAATACTGATTTAGGCCTTCTTACCTGACTGCCCTCTAGAACATACCATAAAGTTGTTAGGATTGATCAATGTTGTTACGTGGATTGGAGGTGGAATTCTTTGAGTTATTCTTGTAATTGCATACTTAAAAATATTATATTTATTTTTGAATTATTAACCATCCATGTTCTTAGAATTGCGCCTCATTTTTCTTTCATTTTTCTCTTCTTCATTCTCACATATTCTCAATGACTTAATTCCTAAAAACATACTTTTTATTTACCGAGAATGTGAAATCATTTTAGTCATGTTGTGTAGCACAATTCTAAGCACTAGACAATTTGATAACAGTGATGAGCATGCAACAAAAAGTAATTTGAGTTTTTATATAAATTCCTCTGCTAAGTCAACATGCTTTATAAGTTTACGTGCCCCTTCTAATTCATGTGTAAACATTTGAGTTTGTTATGTAGTTCATGGTGAAATTGTAACAATTTGATGATACAATTAATCCAGCTTTTAAAGACATACAAGGCCTCCCTGGTGACACAAGGGGTTAAGCACAGCACTATGAAGTTATCTGCAGCCTCTGCAGCACGAGTTCGATCCCTGGTCAGCTGGGGAGCTACCCTGGTGAAGCAGACCTCTCCTGTCTTGCCCGCTGCTCCCCTCAGCAGTGTATTTCAGTCAGTCTGCCTGTTCTGTTCCCCTCTCTGTCTCTGGTGAATCCTCTGGCTTGTACCACAGTTCTTGTATGCATAAATAAATCTTAAAAAAATACAGACACATACAATATATTTTTTTAAGATTTATTTATTTATGCATGCAAGGGCAGGGTGCAGGCCAGAGATGCAGGGTGGGATGGAGTGAGAAGATTCGCCAGAGACAGAGTGGCTAGCAGAACAGGCAGATGTACTGAAATACACTGCTGAGGGGAGCAGCAGGTGAGACAGGAGAGGTCTGCTGTGCCGTGTGGGTCACCCTGGCTGGGCATCGAACTCACACTGCAGTGGCTGCAGATGGCTTCATAGTGCTATGTCTTAACCCCTTGAGCCACCAGGGAGGCTCCTAAAGACACAATATTTCTATTGGTATGAGAAAACCAGGAAGTGGCTTACTAGGCACAATGTATATGATGTACAGCTGCACATTTATTTCAGGGAAACAATGAAAGTTGTTTCTTATATTAGTGCTATAAATTCGTTTCCTTGGTGGAACAGTAAATAGAAATAGCCACACAAGATGTAGGTCTCTGATGTTTATTTATAAACATATAAATGGAGGAGGGAGAGTCAGTTTGTATTCAAATTCTCTCACTCTCCTCCACCCCTTGCCTATCTCACCAACCCACGTTCCCGTTGTCTATTTCCTTCCATAGAAAACTCTAAGGGATTGTAAAGTAATAGCATTCAGTAATAGGGTGAAGAGTACATTAAACATCCTTATGAACTTGTAAAGAGCATGATTTTAAAGGAATGGCAATCTATGAGCTCACAGTTGGGGCCCAGACATTTCTGGGACCCACATGGGCATGGAAATACCTGAAAATTTGATAATCTAGATTGTCCAGTGCAACCATCTTTCATGGGACATGTTCTGGGAATACATGTTTTGGAGGGTGAAAGTTTGCACTGTTCTCATGATGAAAGATGGGGTGGCTGGGAAAAACAGCACAGTGTCCAGGCCAGAGTCAGTACTTGACTGTCACCGTCAATGATTTGTGCCTGAGTCCTGTGGTGAGATGCTCCACTCGTGTCTAAGGCATTGAGTCTGTTTTTCACTTCTTTTCTACTCACTTCACATATTCCAACACTTCTCTTTTTCCCCCTTTTCATCTCCCCACTATTTTTTGGCTTCTCTTTTCCTTCATTACCTCTGTTTCCTTCTTTCTGTCTCCCTCTTTCTCTTCTTGCTTGCTCCCTTTTCTCCCTTCCTTTTTCTCATTGCCAAAAGCCGTGGCCAAGAGTTTACACTGATTTACACACACGTCAGCACTTATAAATATATGTCTGTTTCCTATATTCTCACAAAAACTAGAATTAACAAAAAAAGTTTGCTCTTTCTCAATATGTTAGAAGATTTACCTCTCGTGCATTAAGATGATTCACTATTATTCACATATTTGATTTCATATACCAAAGAGGGATAAGTACATTATCAGCTATACCAGTGCACTAGGGCCTTTACATTAGTATCACTTCATAGAAATTTTGGCAAAATTCTCTCTTTTATCTAAATGAGAAATGACATTCTAAGCCATTAAATAACTTTCTAAGAAAATACACCCTGGTAAAGTGAAGATTTGGGATCACATGCATAGATTCATTTTATGAAAACTAAGTGCAGTATGTTTTGTTATGGACAGGTCACACAAATAAGCTTCAAGGATTACAGAAAGATATATCTTTATCTAATTACCCAGCATGGTGATTTACTACCCATACATTAAAATGCCACTTGCTATACATGAGGGATTATAGTCAAACAGAAAACAAATGATATATTTTCTCTAGAAATTTATAATAAAGAAAATAATTAATAGACACAAGTGTCCGGGCCAGCCGGGCAAATCAACGGGGTACCCGGGGGAGGAAGCAGGGGCTTGGTATGGAACAGGGGTACGCAAGGAGTGGAGACAAAGCCAGGATCATCGCCAGTCTCATTTATTCAGGAATGTGTACAATGTTATATAGGGTTCAGAGGAGGAGGTCTCTCGTTATCTCTAGCAAGGAGAGACCACCAATGCAAACAAGCCACAGTAGCAAGCAGGGGGAAAGGTTCAGTCGTCACAATAGGAAACTTGAAACCTTCACTCGAGCTAACATTCAGTACCTGCTTCAGGTAAGAACCGGGATGTTCAGGTCTGGGCCCCAGGTCTGGGCCCCGACACACAAGTGATTACAATCCAAGTTAGAATGCCATAAAGCAGTGAGAGGAGTGGAAGAGGGAAGAGGGCTTCTGAATTTGAGACTCTACAGGTGTATTGGATCCCAAACATACAGGAGGTAGGACATGGTCATACCTAGATGTATGAAAGAAGAATGAAAATAAGTCTGTTGACATCAAGAAACTACATAGCTAGGGCTTTATAGGGTTATAAATTTTTACTTTCCAAGTGCTTCAGAAAGTAGGGATGACTGGAGCCCAAAGACAAAGATGCGTATCGTGGACTGAGTCCTCGTGTGTCAAGAGAATGTTCTTGCAGTTGGAAGACAATGGAGACAAAAGATTAAAGAAGGGAGGAGGAAAATAGGAACGTTTCTTTTTCCTGAGTTGTTGATGCTGACAGGCTTAAACATAGTAAATTTTAATTTGTTTTTATGTCATATAAAAATACTTGATTAATTTGTGCACATAACTATCAAATGTTCATGACTTAATTTTTAAAACAGTGTTCTATTAGATTCTGTTAGACTGAATATGGAAGAAAAGAGATTAGCAAGAGGATATTGGGTTGGAAGTGGGAGAGTAAAATTGTAGGCTCAGAAACATAATTCAAATGACATTTTCATATCTCCTTCAAGCTGACCATTATCTGTGATCTAGAGGTCTCTGTGAGGTTTACCGACACCCAGGACTGTTTAAGATCAAGGAGATTAAGAGATCACAAAATAAGAACATAGGCCCACCCTTCCTATCCATGCAGAATATGGTCTAATTTTGGTGCTTGCAAGCTCTGTTGCTGTCCAATTCAGTAGCTATTAGAAACATATGACCATTTAAATTTGAAATAATGAAGAGTAAACAATATAAAAAAAGGCAGGGCCTCAGTTACACTACTCATGTTGTCCTCCATAGACAATTACAGCAAATGGGGTACTGTATTTGGAGAATGTGAACATAAAACATTTTCAAAACCCCAGAAAGTTCTATTGGACAGTGATAGAATTGGAGAGCAGGGCTGAATAGAACAACAAAGATTGTGATGCTTGGTAAGAGACTGAAAGGATGATGGACAGGATAGTCCAGAAAGATATTCCATAAAGACTCTTGGACCAGGGATCTGCCATTCTTGATTCTAGGAACTATGATGTAAGAAGTTCCAGGCTAGGGGCAAAATTTTTTTCCTTTAAAGTAGTTTCTCTGAATCCATGTGCATAAACTAAAAATGACGAACTTGAGGAAACACTGGATCCTGTAGGACCAGAAAAGACCATTATGAATGTTTGTAGTGGAAAGGACATTAAAGGGCAATAATTCCGTGTCTCAGTGAACTTAGAAACTGATCTGTCACAGAATTAGATAATTTCTTTTTAATTCCTATTATTTTAGGAATATTTAGAGTCGGCCTAAATTAACTCTTTGGGGTGATAGAGGAAAGCAGGAACAGTCAAGATCGCAGCTCATAGCATACGCCACTATCCCAAGAGATGCAGGTACTCCTTGCTACAGTCCAATTTCCCATCTCCATTCATATCTTTTTCATACTATCAGTGATGAATTTATTTACAAGGTTGAGTGACACTGAGGTATAACAAAGGGAACTGATTCTTTACTCTGTCCTCAGAGGAGACACAGTTCTATAAGGCCCTTAACTGGCCACTCAGAATTCATTTCTTTTTAACACTAGCTGACAATACCTAGTTTTGGTAGAGAGCAGTCAAGTGTCATGATACTCAGTGATAAAGATAATGCAGTGGAGATAAAGAGGTTGATTAGATCTTGTTTGTTCTCCTCCCTTGACTGTGAAAAGTGTAACACTTGAAGAGGTAAAATTATTGTCAGAACAGCAATGTGACTTTTTCTCTTCCCTTAGAACATGTGTGGGAGGACCCTTGTGTGCTCTTAAGTCACATCAGCACTTCTTTCAGAATTTTTCTATAACATGAGTCATCATGGATATGAGGTCTCAGTGGACCAGTTTACGAATTATTTTGTTGTTGAGAAACCAGAGTGCACTGGTTTTGCTTATATTAAATACTCCACATACACTGTCTGAATTGAATTGAATGTATCCTTACACTTTCAGACATTTGTTGCCCACACCAAACTCCTATTACCTGAACATAAATAGTGCTATGCAGATGTCATGACACAGCTATAATGGAAGATCAGTTTTTATTTTGGCTTTCAAGCATGAAGGGTTCTGTTGCCTCCTCAGAATTCATTATGAACCCCTTTATAGCAAAACAAACAAAAATAAAAACAAGATCAGTCACTACTAACGATACAGGTTTCTTCATCATTACATAGACATATTCAGCATTAACAAAGACAGGGTTAAATGGAAAGACTGTTCCTTCACAAAGTTTTCAAGCAAGAAGTAAGACTAAGTAAGTATCCTGGAGTGGCCACTGTATAATCAGGTACAGAACAGACAGTATGGGAATGGAGCAGAGAACCCAGAACAGCTGTAGGGAAGACCAAGACAAAGACCTGCCAGACCACTGCTTAAGTATTATTCTCTATACTTAAAGAGGAGAGGTACAATAATTAAGCAAACAAGAACAACTTACTGTTTAACTCATAATGTATGATCTTTTGAATAATACAGTAAATGATATATAATTTTATTTAAAAGAAACCAAATGAAGACCCTGTTCATGATTCTGTATACCTCACGTAAATTTAATTGAAGCTAGACTTGGATGGCTTTGAATGTTGCAAAACAAGTTTTTATTTTTATTTATTTATTTTTTGATTTTTGGTTTTGTTCAGAGGCTTAGCATTTTTAAAAGAATTATGAGCAAAGTCAAAGTTAAGTGATTTGTCAGATAAAAAAACAAATCACAAAGCACATAAATAAATGAACACACAATTTCCAAATAGTATGGTGAATTTAGCACTATATAATGCCTACCCTTAATTTTGCAGTGAGGGCACGGCAATGCTGTTATCAGCAATAAGGGAAGGCAAACAGAGATTCTTGACACAGTCAGAATTAAGCATTAGTAATGTCTCCTTTTTATGTCTTAATTGGGTGCGATTTGCCTTTGATAGCACCTTTCATTATCAGTACAGCAGGGCACCTATGTGTTCCCTTTGAGGTGTCCATTGTTCTAATTATTCCTGCATGCTGGCCATCCTCAATGCATGTTAAATCACACCAGCAATGCATATTGGAAAAAACGCAATATGCTTAAATTTATTATAGATACTTGTCAGTCTGGGATTGCTTTTAACTCTCTGGATTGTAAAAACTGTGTGGCTATTTTACATTGATAGGCATTTATATTGATTGAAGGAGAAAAAGAAAGTCCTCATTACAGGACTGCAAGCAGTGTAATTATAGAGTGGCACCCGTGCTGGAGTGTATCAGAAACCACACTCCTCTTTAACACTGTGTAGCAGGCGCTATCAGTAGCTCCTCGGAATACTCTCTTTGTACTGGTAATTGCTTACAATTAGGCAAGGGGAGCTGGATCATGTCCTTTCTACCTATCAGAATTCTGATGTTGGGATATTAGATATTGGATGCATTGCAATCTTTTAAATGATTTAATTGTGGAAATCCATATCTTCGGATTTGTTTCTTTTCTTTTCTTTTTTTTAAAGATTTATTTATTTATTTATACAAGCACTGGGTACAGTCAGAAGCGCGGGAGGGTGAGAGAATTCACCAGAGCCAGAGCGGGGAGCAGAGCAGGCAGACGGACATAATACACTGTGCTGAGGGGAACAGCAGGCGGCAGGAGAGATCTGCGCGCAATGTGGGACCCTCGCCAGCGGCCGGGGATCGAACAGGCGCGGGCAGCTTCGCAGCCCAACGATCAACCGCTGAGCCACCAGGGAAGGCCCCGGGATTTGTTTCTTTATAGAATTTGGCTTCATGATCAAAGCCCTAACTTTGAACCCGGGCTCTGTCACTTAATAGCTCTGAAAGCTTTAGGAAAATTTTCTGTCTTTCCAAGCCTCAGTTTTTTTAGCTGAAATATGGGGTTGAGAACATCCACCCCTTGAAGATTTATGAAAGGAATAAATTCTGGATGCACAGTGGGAGCTGAACTGATGCTGGCGGCATGATGACTCCGACACATGTATGAAATTATTCTTCATTATGATATGGTAATTTCCCACTGCTGACCTAGCATTCTACCAAGATGTTTTCTGTAATGGTAGTAGAATTGAACATATAAGATAGCATTCCATTTTCTTAAAGGCATTTACAAATCCTCTTGTCTGAGTTCACCCTACTGCATGTTCTCAAAACCCTGTCCTCTCAGCTCAACTTCCTTTCCCTGGGGTTGGCTTTCCTATTCATTTGTCAAGTTACTTGAGATTTATGCTTCTAGAAGCAAATTTGGGCACATCGAGCACAATGTAAGGACCTGGGCCAGTCAACAATTGGCCTGCTTACCATGGTCCTTGATTTAAATGCAAAAGGCAAAAGAGTGAATACAATGCCCCTGGGTGGCCTGCTAGCAGGCCTCAGACTGCTATATATTTTTCCTCTACTTTTTACAGGAATTCTACTATCTATGCAGAAATTCTGAGAGCCTGCAGCAATATTGTGTGTTCTCTATGAATATCCACTTGACTAGGCTTTAGAGTTATAACAGAAGGATCTGGCTTCTCCTGTACAGCTCTGGTACACAGAGTGTAGGGGACAATGACAACTCTAGAGAAAGAGATATATCTGGGTTCCAATTCTACTTTTTCACCCTTTAGCTGTGTGAGCTGTGATCAGGTACTTAGAGTCCCAGGGCTCCCACTTTTTTTAATTTATGCAATGATTGCAATCATAAGTACATTTTAGGTATTTTTTGGTGAGAAGTAAATGAAAAGCTAAACATAAAGAAGTCAACAGAATATTTTAATGATTTGCTTCTTTTAATAATACTCAATGATTTGCTATGATTTATTTTCGAGGCACCAACTACAACCTGCTTTCCTTTGCCATCAGGTATAGACTATGCCAGAGAAGCTCAGAAATGTTGTCTCAAATTAAGAACACTTCAGCGCTCTTATATCAGAATTATATATATATATATATATTATATATATATATATATATATATATATATTATATATTCTTTTCTTGGAAACAATGCTTAACATGCCTGTACCTGGCAAGAGTCCTGGAAATGCAGTGATGGCAAAAAAGAATTTTTTTAATTGAAGTAATATTGCTTTACAACACTGTAGATGATTCAGAGCTCTTCGATGTATGTTACCACACCACACCCACCACCAAGGCACTTAGAGTCTATCACCACAGTTCACTGGACTCCTTTCACCTCCTTCTCTCCACCCTACGTTAATTTTGTATATCCACAGATAAATGATATTTCTTTTATTGATACGGTAGTGTGCGATAATAATAATGAAATGTTTTGTGGGGATAGTGTCACTCTCTTCAGGTGTTGGGAATGACGTCCAAGGTCTAAGGAAAAGAGAGTTTTAACTGCAGAGCAAGCTGGCGCCCACACGTCTCTGTGCCAGCTCCTTCCCCCTCCCCTTTTCAGACCTTTGTCCATCTCCCCCGCCCCCTTTTTTTTAAGCAGGGTCTCCAGGACCATCAGTTTTCTCCAGTTCTCTCCTATTGTATTCAATGTTACAGCAAGAGAAGGGGGAGCAGACAGATGCTTTTCTGGTCTTTCTCTCTCAGAGATTTTGACAAGTGCAGTCACCGATAAGCCATATGACTTGTCGACAGAACCACAGGCAAAGCCCAATCTATCTCCACAGCTGCAGCTGTGGAGATTTCATACACACACCACTCTCTCTCTCTCACACACACCGAAGGTTATAACCATCCCATCCCTCCCTTTCTGGGAGTTCCAAGGTTCTCTACCAAAACCAAATGAGACCCCTGAGCTGTCCCTAAGAGGTGATCAGCCTCTCCTTCCACCACTCAGGGTAGGTCACATGGGAACCAGGGTCCCAGCACCTTACCTGATCTGACATCTGCACCAAGTCCTGGCCTCACTCAGCCTTTTGGAAGTTAGGCTGGGAAGGTGTCGTGGGGTCTGGGCAGGAACAACCAAGTCAGAGACCCCCGAAAGTCATCAACGGAGTACGATTCCCCTTCATTGGCTCTCTTTCCCATCTCCCACTCTGCGTCCTCCAGAGCCGATGGCTCAAAGGGCCAACATGCTTGCTGTTTCCTGGTCAGGGAACCAAAAAAAGCTACAGAAATAAATTCTAGCCTTTTACCCAGGCAGGGGAAGAACAAACGGTACTTCAGGAATGGTGAGATCAGGAAAGCTTTATTACTCATGTATGAGGGCCGAGACCTGGGCCCGTAAGGTCTGAGCACCAGTCTAGGCACAAAGGGTTTCTTTTATACATAACCATCTTAAACTGATAACATCGGTCAGTAACCACAAAAGTTTGTGACAAAAGACAGGTATTCAAGGATGCCCTGGGAGATCAATCAGCCTGGCAGCTGTCTGGCCTTGTTAAAATGTAACCTCCTTTAGGTAATCTCATCTAGATAGGCTTTAGAGAGGCAAACTTGTTTACATTTACTGTGCATTATTTACTGCACCAGACCTATTGTTACAGGGCAGGGAGAGGGGCAGCTCTAAATAGGTTCTGCCATCTACCACATCAACACGAAACATATGAGACTTTAATGGGAAGGAACTTTAACAATTAGTGAACAATACAGGAAAGGCAAAGAATATAGTTTCTAAATCAAGCACCCAATGTTACCTGTCCCCTCATGGGAAAAAGTCCATCTAAGTGGGGCTGGCCCAGAGCAAGGCCCCAAAGCCTGCCATGAGTCTAATGCACCTTCCAGTGGGGACCCACGGAAAAGGATCAGAAACAACCAGACAAGTCTGAAAAGAAAAGAGCAAAATCAAAATCAAGACAAAAGGCAAGTGCAGTTTCTTCATGTGTCTCTCTGCTCCATGTGCCTCCTCCAGGTCTCCTTCTGGCTCTCCATCCTTCTTCCTTCCTTCCTCAGTCTCCTCTGCAGCTTCTTCTTTCCCTGCTCAGCTCCACCCTCCTTTTGGGTGGAGCAAGGAACCTGGAACCTCCCCCTTTCCTGGGGACCACCCTGTTACACTATGACTTTTAGCAGGAAAGGAAAGATTTCATTTGATTAGCGGTTCCCTTTCAATGTCACACCTACCACCCAAACACCCACAGTCCTTCATTACAGCTCACTGGCTCCCTCTCCACATTGCCCTCTCCTCTATCCCCACCCTCTGGCAGTCTCAGTTCTACAGTCAGGTTTTGTTATTTGCTTGGTTGCATCCGGCCCTTTGTCCTTTCATTCACCAAAGTCTCACATTATTTGGTTGATATAGGCAAGGCACTTAACTTCTGTCCCTTAGATAGAATTCATGTGTTCCTTTATCTGCAAAATGGGTCAACACCTACTAGAAGATTTGAAGTTCCTCTTGTGAATACAGGCTTCACAAAATAACTTGTAGATACAACAGAGACAAGTTCATTGTCTATTGAAAAGGGAGAATACTAATCTTTAGCCTACTAATATCTCAGCAAGAGGTGGCCTGAGTCACCTCTTGGATATCTAAGGATATTGATGAATGTTTGAAGTCTAGTTTAAAGTGGGTCTGTCAATTCAGGGACTTGATTGGGGAAGAATTGTGAAATAAAGATTTAGAATAATTAGATATAACAGGGTATTTTGAGGCAAGATGGTCAAAGCATCTTAAGCTATAAAATGTCATTTGATATCTTTTATTAAAGAATTGATGTCTTTCAGAAAGTTCCTCAAATAAAAATTAAAGTTGTTTGCATTTTTTATCTTCCTGAGTAAATAATAATAAAGCTGTGTTAACAAAGACAGTTAATAAAGTCATTTCAATATAGATATCAAATAATAAAGTCATTTCAATATAGATATCAAACAACTAGAAATGCTGGCAGCTTTTGTTATTAAAGAGGTATTCTTTACTATTAAAGTATGAGGAGGTACTACAGTTCTTAAAAGGCATCCTTTTTGGTGTCCTCTTTGAAATATATAAATGCACATCTATGTATATATTGTCTATACAACTTTGATTTTGCACAATTGAAAGCAGTGTGAATGCCCATCAATAGGGGAAAACATTGCAGTGCACTCAAATCATAAACATTGTACAGCTGTTAAAAATAAGAAATCAAAGTCACATTCCTAGGAGAATTTGCATGAAGTACTGTTAAGATGGATAAGTATCACCCCTTTTTTTTGTGAAACAAAAATATAAAATAAAAATTCTTGTGTGTTGTAAAGACAAAACACACTGGACAATTCAGTCAATAACTTCATGATTGAGGCTACTGCAATACAGAGAATGCTCATTAATAAGGAACATCTAAGCAAAGAACTGAAGCAGGAATGGATTCTGGGTTTCACAAAGACCAATAAACAATGAAGACTTAAAGAAATGCGAATAGGAAGACTTCTGAGTCCTATGGGTGGATCAAGGGGGTTTTGCTCTTATGTAGGAGGACAGGGAGCTAATGTGCAGTCACAAAGTGGAAGGGAGTAGTTTCCAAACCACTACTGCTCTCTGGGACCCTAGGGTTCAGATAAACTTCAACAGTGTCAGTAAGATTATGTAACTTTATATTTGTATATCCATGTGTTATGTTTATATATGTAATTGTGTTTGTATTTATATATGTGTGTGTGTATATATGTATATGAATAGTATATGAACAGAATGTTAGGCGAGGACTTTGGGAGAGCAAGCACAGAAAACAAGCAAAAGGGGAAAATACAGCAATTGTGAAAGTATAGCACATATAACTTGATCATATTAATTTGTAAATACTATATATGAGTAATCAATATGTAAATGCTTTTAAAGCATTTAAATATAAGTAACATTAAAATAAATTAGATAATATGTATTTTTCTGAGTTTAGCAGAAATACTTAGAGAAATTAGACACTACCAAAAAGCATCCATAGATTTAGTTCCTATTCTAGAGCAACTTTACAAAGACAGGCATGTTTATTATTCAATTATGTCTTCAGCCTTACATTTAATATAATCATTTTCATAAAAAAATAGTGCCATAATTAAAGGGAATTTTTTGTACACTGGCACCATTGAAAAGTCTAGAAGCATAAATTTTAGAGGGTGAAATAGGCATATAACACTTTGTCAAGTATTCATATGTTCAATAGCCTTTGTCATTTTGAACATGTGTGCTTTTATTACTTCCAAAGAAATTTGACTGGGGGTCTCAGTAATTACAACAAAGGGATGTTAGTGTGATATGGAAGTTTGGCAACAAAGACCTAACTTGGGAACAATCTCTTCTCTATGTCTCTATCATTAACATATGCTACTACATTAACATATGCTATATTTTTTAAAATATAACTAAAGTTGAAAATACAAAGATCTTAAAATCTTAAATCTTGTCAGGCCAATGGGTGAGAATTTTTCAAGGAAATGAAGTAATGCCTGTTTAGTGATTTCATTTATTTTGCATAATCTTAAGCATCCTTTTCATGAAGGATGAAGGAAGGCAAGAGACACTTATTCAAGAGTCCCACTTACAGTCAGAACTTCTTCCGTAATTCAATTCCTTTCCCAAAGCAGAAGATGGACAATGCATAAAAGCATGGAGAAAAGCCTCCTGTCCTCAGAATCTATCCACCAGAAGTTGTTTAGCACATAAGTCAGGTATAAATGAAAGGGATTGTCCATAATGTAAAATCCTTACTGATATAATTGAGGTTTGGGAGGCACAATTTATTCTCAATGAAATTAAATAGTTTCAACTAATTGAATATAAAGTATCTAAGATAGTAACAAAAAATTAAATATAAATCCCATTCACCAAAACAAATTTTCTTTTTTCTTTTAAATGGAAAATATTTTCTCAAATTTATCCAATCAGTACTCAATTACTTCAACACATGTATCTCTAATAAACTGTAATATTTTATTTTCTCCTTTTTCTTCATAATATCGTTTTTCTATAAATATAGTGCCTTTATTTGAGATCCTAGTTTTACTTGAAAACTTGCAAAAATGGAACAAACTAATAAAATAACTTGAGGCAGTTCCCAGCCTCAAAATGGGGTTAACCCAAGAAGAAAATTGTAATTATTTGGCTTTCTACAAAAGAAAGCTAGCCCCCCCACCCCTCGCCTTCTCCTCCTGCCTCTTCTTCCCTTATTTACAGTACAGTGGGACTTTTGAGTGAAGGAATGGCAAACAGTTAATAAAACCTTTGATGGGTATTAATTACTTTCCACTTAATTACCTGCCATGTGGATCTTGTTGAGCTATTGATTACTGGCAAACATACATCCCACTGGGGATAAGTGTGATTTAACTTCATCCAAAGAGTCAATTAGCCCAAGTAACACAGGGAGAGCTGGTGCTGCGCCTCAATAGCTGGTGTTTCTTGCCAAGAAGGGTAGATAAACCATTTATTTGTTCATTAAAACACAGTACTACTATCAACAGGAGGCACTTACCAGGTGTTATTGAGATTGGTAAAATGTCACTCTATGTCATCCAAGATTAGCTGCGTGGTATAGAAGTAATATGGACAAAGAGAATCTTTTTCACTTGAGGAGAGTAGAGGAACTGGTGAGGTTATGGAGTTAACCCCACAGGGGGATATATAGTGCTGGTGCAGCTCTCTATTTTGTGAACTATGAGAGAAAGAGGTATTGTTGCATTGATCAAACCTTGGTAGTAATCTGCACCTTTGAAGTCCTTAAGAAAATTCATACATTTGATCCTCCTAAAACTTTATTCCTTAAACTCCAATTTAGAAATTCAAAACATTATATGATATAGGTCTTCAGTAGTTTTCTTGTGAGATAAATTAAAGTAATCCTGTAAGATATAGCCTCATTATTGCCCACATTCATTTAAGTTATCTTCTTTTTTTCTGACTAAAGAAGGGGATTCAAGCAGGAAATGAGATGAGAAGATACTCAAGCTTGTTATCCTAAGATTTCAGGTATTTGGGTGTTTTTGCCCCAAATGGTACCCTGCTGAAAGGCACAGAGTTATCTGATGTCACTTTTATCAATTTGATCAGAAGATCTTGTGAACTACAATATTGGCATTGACACCTAACTGGATTCCTTGTTTTTAAGAATTTTTTTTATCTCCTGTTAAGTCATAGCATTTTGGATTAAACATTTCCTATGTCAAGTCATTCTGTAAGAGTGAGTCAAAACATAGTGTAACTCCCCAAAGGGTACATGCTGGCTGTAGGCACAAATTCTGTTTAATTCAAGATTTTTACTTGTTTCATTTTTAAAACAAAAATACACTGAGTTTGTGGTTGTTAGAGAGAGCCAGATTTTAGACTCAGGGAAATGGAAATGACAGCTTACGGTAATTCTAAAACCATCCCTTTCCTCTGACTTTGACATATAAATCCTCTCATAGAACTTAATTTTTCCTTGTCCCCCAAGGCTCTATGTTTCTAGAGAAAGCTTACAAAATTCCTTACAAAATTCCTAAGCTGCTGAATGTAACATTTCTCATGCCGATTAGAATGCTGAGGCACAAAGCTGGTAAATTTTTAGTTTCATAGGATAGAAATGTGAAAATTACTTTATCTTCTATAAAAATGAACATATATACATAACTATATATTATACATACACATTCACATATGAAAACATGTATATGCATTATAAATTTGCATATATTTTATCATATGTGTATATTCTATTAAATAAATGTGATTATGTAATGTGCACTATATATTATATGTTTGCATGTGTATATATACATAGACATGTATATATGTGTATATATGTGTGTATATATGTGTATTTATGAAATCTTTTGTTTAGTTGTAGTGTTGTGATGGAATAGAAAGAAAATAAAAAAAAAATCTAACAGATTTCTACCTTATGCCAGAATCGAGGTACATTGTATATATTTTATTATTTTATCACAAAACAACTAATTTAGGTTGCCTCTATTATGCTGCAAAATAAGATAAAGCACAGGGAAGTAGGAAAATTGTTTAAAGTAACTTCTTAATAAAAGATTTTAAGCCATATTTGTTTGACACCAAATCAAAATCTTCCCCCACTTTACCTCCCTGTTTTCCCTGGGAGACAATTTCTTTAATTTTCTTTTAAAGATTTATTTATGCATACAAGAACTAGGGTACAGGCCAGAGATGTGGGGGGGTGAGAGGATTCACCAGAGACAGAGTGGGGAACAGAACAGGTGGATTGACTGAAATAAACTGCTGAGGGGAGCAGCAGGTTAGTGAGGAGAGGTCCATGTGGGTAGCTCCCTGGCTGAGGATTGAACTCGTGCTGCAGTGGCTGTGGATAGATTCATAGGTTGTATCTTAACCACTTGGGCCATCAGGGAGGCCCTGGGAGACAATTTCTAAGTTCAGGAGACAGTTCCTTCGTTCATTTGTCACACAACCCAGGAAAGGTATAGAGCAAATGAATGTCGACTCTTAACCTTTGGTACTATGTAGCGTTTTCATTAATTATTTGAGCATCAAAAAAACCTTGAGTCTAAAGATAGCTGGAACTTTCTTATTATTTTCTTTTAATTGAGAAATGTAATGTCCTTAAAGAAATGACTTTTAATGGATTATATGCAATACATTGTGTTGTGCCTTAATATTTTTAGTTGTATTAATCCGATATAATATCAGGATAGCCACGGATAATTGACAAAATTGAAAAGGCAGCATATCCAGTTAAATTTCCCACAAAATTTATTTCTAACTCAAGATTGCCTTCTATAAACAAACACTTCAGTAAATGTGCATTAAATTTTATTACGAGTTTATAAAGAGACCATTATGGTATTTAATAGTTTCGCAAATAAATGTAGAATTTATTTGCATGTATTTATGTCACTTACCAGTTTGCATGTATTTATGTCACTTACCAGTTGCATGATTGTGGGAAAATTACCTCAGTGTGTCAGAGTTTGCTCATCTGTGGAGGGTGATAATCTCTATCTCAAAAAGTAAGAGAGGGGAAACTTTGTCGTGATGCATCAGCCAACCTAAACTTATGGCTTAGGTTGTGGTGATGGTTTCATGGATGCATACTTATATCTGAACTCATCAAGTTGTATACATTAAATATGTACATATTTAATACTCATCATCCACTTATTATCAGGGAAATGCAATTCACAACCACAGTAAGAATATATCTCACACATGTGAGAATGGCTCATATCAAAATGACCAGAGGGGCCTCCCTGGTGGCGCAAGGGGTTAAGATGCAAGCTATGAAGCTCTCCGCAGCCTCTGCAGCACAAGTTCGATCCCTGGCCAGGGAGCTACCCATATGGCACAGTAGACCTCTCCTGACACGCCCGCTACTCTTCCCTCAGCAGTGTATTTCAGTCAGTCAGCCTGCTCTGTTCCCCACTCTGTCTCTGGTGAATCTTCTCACCCTCCACACCTCTGGCCTGTACCCCAGTTCTTGTATACATAAATAAATAAATCTTAAAAAAAATGACCAGAAAGAACAAACGTCGGCAAGGGCATAGAGAAAAAAGAATCCTTGTACACTGTTGGTGGGGACATAGCCCCAGTGGAAAACAGTATGGAGGTTTCCTAAAATATAAACATATTAAATATTAATATTAAAAATAGATCTACCATATGACCGAGCAATTTCATAATCACTAATTCAAAGGGATACATGCACTGCTATATTCATTGCAGCTCTGTTTTCAATAGTGAAGTTATGGGAACAACCTAAATGCCCAAGAGTAGATGAGCTAAGGATTAAGAGGATGTGTTTTCGGGCCTCCCTGGTGGCACAAGGGGTTAAGATGCAACCTATGAAGCATCCGCAGCCACTGCAGCACAAGTTCGCTCCTGGGCAGGGAGCTACCCACATAGTGCAGCAGACCTCTCCTGCTTTGCCCGCTGCTCCCCTCAGCAGTGTATTTCAGTCAGTCTGCCTGTTCTGCTCCCCACTCTGTCTCTGGTGAATCCTCTCACCCCCAACACCTCTGTCCTGTACCCCAGTTCTTGTGTGCATAAATAAATAAATCTTCCAAAAAAAGAGGATGTGTTTTATATAAAACACTATGGAATACTACTCAATTATATATATATATAAAAAAGATGAACTCTTGTCATTTGCAATAACATGGATGATCTGGAGGGGATTATGCCAAGGAAAATAAGCCAGAAGAAGAAAGACAAATACTGGATGTATATAGTCATATGTGAAATAAGGAGAAATGAAACAAAGGGTCCAACAAAACCAAACAAAAAATAGCCATAGAAATCTGAGAGTAAAATTGAGAATACAAGAGGCAGAGAGCAAAGGAGGGAGGTGGCCCTATGGACTATGTTGGAGGACAACGGGTGGCTTGGTCGTGGATGTGGCGTGGTAAAGTGCATCTGAAAAGCTCTTGTCTTATGCCTCTGAATCAGATACATATCTTATATAGCCTGTTTATTTACCTATTTAGGGAACCGATGTTACCTAAATAAAAAAGGAATGTCACTATCTCAAAATATTGCCTTGAAAATAAATACAATATATTGAAATGTGTTTGGCTCAAATTACTCAGGAAATATTAATTGCTATTATTGCTAAGGCAAAGTGTATACTACAGTGCTGACTAAACGCAAAACTACTAAAAGCAAAAGCATAAATGGTAAGACACACCATTATTGTAAATGCAAATGACACTAATTTTCCAAATCAGTCATTATAAAAACCCTCTCTAATTTTCTTATAGGTCATGGCATTACTAAGATATTAGCTACTGATACCTAAGTATATCACTGACAATAGTCAAAATAGTATTGATACAAATAGAACAAAGTGCTCTGCTCCATAGAATTAATATTAACCACTTAAATATTGGAGAACTATTTAGCCCTGCTAAAATAATAAGTACCTGTGTCATCATAATTAATGTTAATCTGCTCTTCTTGATAGATAACTATCAAGTTCATCATTCTTCTAAGGTCTTTCATTATTCATGATAATAAAGCCATGACCTTATTATAGAGAAGGGTAATTATTTTCCTCTTCACTCTTGCAAGCAGGCAATGATCCAATTCCTTTAAAAAGAATATAAAAATATCTAGTTTAGAAATAAAAAGAAACACCAAAAATCATTTTTCTCTTATACATTTACATTTCTGTCTTTCTTGATTTTGACAATCTACCATAGATGTAGATTTTGCAAGCATATTAATAACTGGAGACTTATCTTAAATTCACAGAGCTTAAAAAACAGATCCCTAGAATCAAAAGAGAGGTAAAGTTAATCAAAGGTCTGAAGAGTCCTGTTATTTTTAGCATAGTATTTTCAACAAGATTAAAAAGGGTTCAATAATAATCAATACTTCAAGAGTTAAGTTGAAAATCTTGCTCCTCACATAAAGAATTACAATCAGAGCCCAAACCTCCTGTTGCTCCAGTAGAAAGTTATCCAAGTTTGAAGGCATATTAAATGAACAACTGGGCCTTTATTTTTAAAAGAGCAGTGGGTTACCCTTTCTAAGGTGTGAAAACTGCATATTGAACACTGTCAGTTAAAACTGTAGCAGGAATTTATGGCAGTAAATGACTTGATATAGAACAGGACCTCTATTAAGAATACATTTTAAAATACATTTGCTATTTTGAAATTTCACTGGCTAACCACTTTTAGCCCAGGAACAATACTTACATTATGTAGTTATCTTAAATTTTATGCTGAGAGAAGATAATTTTTATCAGAGTAATATAGTTTATAGTAATATAGTAATATAGTTATCAGAGTAACATAGTTTCCTCAAAAGGCTTAAATAAAATCCTGGCTAAATAAGAGATATATATCTTGGAATCTATCACCTACCCTCATTTTTAATTCTAAAAGTCTTCAATAAATTTTAAGCATGCCTTTTAAGCGACCTTTAGTATATATTTACATTTCCTTGCAAAGGTTGTAGCAAACAGAATTGATCTATTATCTATTTTTGTCTATCTATCTATCTATCTATCTATCTATCTATCTATCTATCTATCTATCTATCTATCTATCTATCTCATCATATAAATGTGGCCCAAAGGCAGTTAGCTTTTGGTGTTGTGGCATGGCTACAGTTTGAACACTAGTCAGTGTGTATCAGGTCTTTAGGATGATTTTGCTATTTGAAACAAAGATTAAGACATTGGAGAGTAAACTTAAAGATATTAGGGAGTGTCTAAATAAAAAGACAGGAGAAGGGAGAAATAATGTGCTTTCTAACATTTGCCTTGTTTTTTAAATAAGATAAAGTACATATCACTTTTTAGTCCGTATCACTACAAAAAAAATAGATATTTTTATAGTGTATCTATAGATAGATAGCTAATGGATAATTATTTCTGTAATTGCATCAGCTTGTCAAATGAAACTTATTTATCATGTCAATAATTTTGAAGGGCTATTATTGTACTGCATCTTGCAAGTAATTACTCTCAGTTTATATATCACACTTGGAGCTAAGATGTTCAACTGCCTAATTCAAAGTGCCGTATCCAATATGATGTTAAGTATTAAAAATACTATTTAAGCCAGATAAATTAATCCTTTTGCTAAATAAAACTCAAATTGCAGATCAATGACATAATATATAACATAAATTTCTTTATGTCCAATGGATTATGTGTTAACTCTTATAATCATGATAATTCTTAGACATGTGCCTTGTATTACCATCGTATTGATAGCTACACAAGGTGTCATGTGTTACACACGGCTGTGCTTTTTAAAAACAAAATTCAACTGAGGAAATTTTTGAATTTTCTTGGCTTTATTTAGCAAATTATTTGAATTGGATAACTGCCAATTCAAATAGCAGATAGAAGGAACCCCAAAAAGCTATTCAAGGCAAGAGATTTTATAAGAAGAATAGAACAGAAACAAGAAAGTTGTGCTCAGAAAAAAATCAATTGGTTATTGCAAAGTTACTTTTTTGTAGGAGATGGTGGAGGGCTGTCAGGCACATCACTTAACTAATGCTGATCAGGTGAGTCCTGATTGACTAGTTTTAGATTCCATTTTTGGGAGAGCCAATTAAATCTTCACTTGGTGACTGGTGACTTGTGGCTTAGCACAAACAATTCCATTTGGTGTTTGTCATCTTGTCTTTAACAGATCTCTCCAAATGTAATTGAAGAAAATATATTATTTAGACCCATGCCTACCTTATAAAGATGATGGTAAAATAAAGTCTTTGTTCTCTTGAGAATCTTTGATAAGGATGAATTTGTAAAGATGGACTGTGCAGAATTTGGAGTAATTACCAAGCTAAAGCATGTGTTTTGGAAATGGCCCAGAAAAGCTTTAATTCAAAATATCTAATATCCAATTTTCAAAGTTTTTGCATTTTTGTGAGATGTTTATCAATATCATCTAACATTTATCTATCATTATTTATTTTCTAGTCTTCTCTAATTTCCCTAAGCTTAACTTCCATTCCCCAAAATGCTTTAAATACTGACAAATTCCTGCTGGAAGTAATTTACACAATTGAAATGAGGAAAGCAACTGGATTCTACATCCTGGAGGAGCACCAAGCACAGGATGAGAAAGTCCTGAAATGGAATACATGAGTAGAGGAAGAAGCTTAGATTCAAAGCCAACCAGAAGATGATTGTAAGTGCACTGAACATTTACAAAATATTGGCGAATTACTGGACATACTCCAAGTTACAACATAAAATTTTGTGTTTACTAATCTAGATAATTTGGGACAGTGGCCATAGAAAATCACACACACATATCATCATCATCATCATCATCATCATCACCATCATCATCACATTTAATGGTATGTTTGAAAAGAAACTTTCTTTTCATATTAGGTTATGTGAAAAAGGTATCTGAGAGATTTACCCTAAGATCCAGCTTCAGTGAGAATCCCTAATAAAGGGTTCCCAAAGCTCCTGTTTCCCTTTCACCTAAAAAGTACCAAATCTTTTCTCTTGTGATTGTGAGTTTAAAAGAAGTCACTTACACATCTGTCTTATCCTGCAATGTAGCTTCAGCTTCTCTATTGCCAGGAACATGAATATTGTTTCTCAATGTTTGCTGAATGAGTTCATTCACTAGCTCTCCTAATGAGAAGAGCAATATCCTTTTTGTTTTTATTCTTCTACTTCCTATTACAGTGTCTTACTTATATCAAGTACTCAATAAATGCTAACTGTATGAATGGAGTAAGATACACAAGGATCTGATTACGTTTCCTTCTAACCTTATTGATTTGGGACAATTTATAGGCAAAGTAGCTATATTTGCAATAAGATTTGAAAGATGCTAAATGTTTACCTGGCATAAAACTGTTTTCTTAATAGGCTCAGTCAATTGGCATGGGACTCCAGTGTCTTTAAATTCAGTGCTAGGCCTTTGTAGACTTCCTAGACGACAAGGAGAACTGTCTCCCTGCCTCTTCTGCAGGTACAACTGTAGTTGCAGTGGAAAGGGAGGGAAAAGTATGATTTTAGAGGGCAAAAGATGCATGCCACCATTAAGAATTCCATGTCCTGTCTCTACTTTAAATAATTTCTACCATAAGGTGGAGCTGTATCCTATCAAGAGAAAAGAATGTGATCTAAGATCTGGCAAAGTCCACTTAGCTCATTTCTCACTTGGCTTGCAGCTTGTGATTTTAAAAGTTAAAATGCATAGCAGCCACCGCCAAATCCACCACCAACTGATAGAGAGTTTTTATTTTGGAGCAGCTAGGATTCTAATGTGGTGAAAAGGTATACGAAGGCAAGCAGGACCTTGTTTTTTAGCTTATGTTGTAAACACAGCTTCAGGGGAGTCTCTTTGAAGTGCCGAGATCTGAGGTGGCTGGTTTTGAAGTCCCCCTGAGGTAGCACAGAGAAACCACAGGTATCTGATCCTGTTTGCTCTTGAGTAAATCATCCCAGCATCAAATAGAGTGTTGACAAACAAAATGAAAAAGCAAAAGAGGGATTTATTTAAAAGAGTACATTGTGTTATACAGGATACTGCTAGAATTTATGATACTGACTTATATTAGTTGCAAGAGAGGTTTTGCTTCTCAGTTTGTGATTGTAAGAGGTATGGCCATGAAAACCCCCAGCTGTGTTATCTGTAAAACCCTGGCATCTCCACCCAAAGGAAAAAATGATCCCCTGAAGAGAAGGAGCACTGCAGGGTTTCCTGATAACACATCAAGGGTAATCTAGATAAAGGAGAATGGCACTACAGGAGTGTGTGTTGCATGACTCCCTGGGCAGTGCTCTCTATCTGGAAATCAATTAAAGGGCAAGGCACACCAGATCATAGCTGGTTTGGGATTTCCTCAGCAGAGATTTGCATAGAAACCTTGCAAACAACAAAAACCTATTGTAAAAATCCAAGGATGGGGACAATATTTGTGAAGAAAAACCTCTACTCCATAAAAATCTGACAAGTATAGGAGAATTTTCATTACCAAAAATTCCTCCTAATGTGCAAATCTGTTTTTAATTCCCGATAACATTACTCATCTAAACATGTGCAACATAAAAATCATTTGCGATATGTCACTTAGACCTTTCCAGACACTCAACACATTTTAACAATGTGGTGTGTTTCTGCCAGAGTCCTGTAAGATATGGTAGTAGACTGGCTTCATCTTTGCAGATAATAAAATCATCACTCTTGAGGGGACTGAGACTTGTCCCAGAAGACATGACAAATAATAAAACTACTTCTATCTGATTCATGCCAAGCTTTTTTCATGCTAAGCAAGATACTAGATACTTTATACACACTATCTAATTTCTCATCACCATCATCATGTAAAGATTACACTTACGATTTTATTTTACAGTTTTAAATACCCACCCGTGATTGCACAATAACCTAAAGTTAGAACCAGCAATCCAAAACCAGCAAGCACAACACCACGGTTCTCAAACTCCTGCAGATTTGCTTGAAGATGATTCTCAAACTGGTTGTTCAAACAGTGTTATTTATATTTTATTATTTATATAATATTTACAACCATGTGATTCCCATGGCTAGCTATCCTTTTTCATCTAAAGGCTCACTCCTGAGGGCAGAGTCCCTATTCCTCTGATTTATCTTGGTTCCTCATACAGTCTTTTTCATTACAGTTTCTTAAAAAATATTTCTGAATAAATAATCCTCTGTCCAACGGGGAGAACTGTATATAAAATGACTCACCTTCATTTATATAATGTGCCTCCCCTCCCACATCTTTTCTTTCTTTTATACATTCATTTTGCCCTGACAAATATATATTTTAAATTATTTTTGTTGTTGAAATAGGGCCCTCACCCACTCCCACAGGCCTTTACTCTTGTAACTTTGAAGGTCTTTCTGCTTTCTCTCTCACAAAACACATCTGTCATGGCTTTGCCTTCTTCTCTCCCCTGAGTCCTAGAGCTACAGACTCACATGGTAAGGGTTGTCCATCCGTCTAGAGCACCTGGGGTTTAAGGTGTAAGCAATTTGGCTGTAATTGCTTCTTCCCAGCAGTTACTCCTTGAAGTGGTGAAGGGGGACATTTGGTTGGATCTCTATTTCCACCTACATAAATAGGTATTGGAGTCAAATCCAAAGACCATGGCGTATTTATCTAGAAATAAATGTCACCCCCCAAGATGAGAGTTTTCAGCTACATCTTTGTCTTACTCTTTTCTTGGGTCATGGTTCAGCAAAAACTGTGTTCACTTTTTCTACTTATTTTTGATCTGTTAGTTTCTCTGAGTGAAACAAAACATAAAATGTAATGTTGTATTAAATAAATCACATGATTTTTCTTATTTTCTCTTAGAATTCCATGATGCTTTGATGTACTGATGCCTCTCTGCTTTATTGGATTCAACTACTATTTCTTAATCTGTAAGCAGAAAGCATCTCAGATATACTCTAAGTTTTTATTTCTCAAACTTCCTTATCCATTTTTGGTAAAGAACAGAAATGATTGTTTTCAAGACAGAGAGTGGATGGATCTGTAAGTATATTTAGTAACATTTTGTTCAAATTGAGCTTCCTTCTATTTTATGCTAAGAATTATACTAGTATGGACTCAGCAATCAAGGGATATCTTACATAAGTAACATAGCTTCACGACTATTTCAATGCAGAATTTAAAAAGTTTAAAGTCTATTAATGCAAAACTAAATTAAAATCCTATAGATAGACAATTAGTGAGGTAGGCTATGTTTATATGACTACTTGTTTAAACTGTCTGTGAATTCCAGTGAACCCAGTCAGGTTGTCATGGAGTGAAATTTGGGCACACTATACTGAACAGCACCGGAGATGGAGGTCACACGTCTTCCTTGTCTTACATTAGCATCGCTGACCCTAGTGAACCAATATATGTGCTATGAAGGAAATGCACAATCATCTTAATTTATCTGATATAGTCTAAAATCTTGTTAAGAAATTCCAGAATTGGCACATATAGTCCAAGCTGCTTGAGAAAATTTTGTTAACTATCCTAAAGTAAGAGTGGAATTTTACTTGTTACATTGTGTGATTGTAAGAGAAAAAAAATAATTTTCCCTCTTCTAGAAGCATTCTTTAGCTGATCTAAATTCTTTAAGGTAATTAAGGAAGAGGTACAGATTTTTTATCTGCTGGGTTTTGATTGTCTTCAACTAAAAAACAGTCCTCATGCAAAGTGACATATATTGGGGTAGATTATTCTGTTCCTCTTCAATATACAATTTATAAAAGATTGTATCAAATTTTACTCCAGTATCTCACTGCCAATAATCCCAGCATCATGCAAGTCATATTTGCATCCAAGTAGTACACAGAGAAGTGTAAGTGCATTGATTGGAATTTAATTTTATTCTCTTGAAAACATTAGTTCATTTTACTAGTATACTTTCTCAATATGCTATCTTTATACTATCTTTACTGACAGAGTGACCGTCTGATTTATCATTTAAATCAACACACTTTGGAAATGAAATTGGATACTATTAATAATTACATTGATTCTATAGGCATAAACCGAGACTGTTTTGAAAAGCTGGAACATATGATTTCCATTCCTTTAGAGTAGATTGTAATTTAAGGGAAGAAGTGTATATGTCACTCCCAAATATGCCTCTTTGACATGGGATTATTTTGAGTTGGTTAATTTTAAGAAATAGCATGCACAGGAAAAACTCAAAAAGTAAAAAACCAAATACAAGTTACCTCTTCTAAGAGACATTCACATTTTTAAGACAAATCTCCATTTTTAGTGCCTCTCTAATGCGAAGTGGAGAATGATAAAATCTGTAGAAACTCTAATTAAGGGAGAAGGGAATGAGTTAATTTTATATAACAACGACTTACTGTCTTTTGCCTGATAATCTCGATAACTGGCTTCCTGCCTCCTTCCACCGCGCACTACACACACACACACACACACACACACACACACACACATTTTCTTTTGTCTTTAGTGGAAGATATTTTAGGTTGTAGTTTGGATCCTTTTGGGGAGTTACTCAGTTTTGCAGGAAATCTTTCATGTATACAGGAGATAATACATGTCCTTCAATTTGTTTGCTTTTTCCTGTTAATCTCTCTTTTATTATAGAATATTTCTCAGCTAAGAGTCTTAGAAAGATAGGGGGAAAGTGATTTTTCCTCCCCTACACAATCAAGTCACACATAATAATGTCAGTGTACTAATTTCTAAGGATTTGGTGATGATAGACCTAACCTCCTCTTACTGTTAGTATATGACCAAGGGGCACCAAGGAACCCCAAACTTTAATAGTGAGTGCTTTCAAAGGATTCAACCATCCAGTCACACAAGGCAAAGGAGGTAGACCCTTAGTGTGAAAGATCTTTAATAGAAAAATGTGCATCGAGAAGTCTAATAATAGTTTCCCAATAAAACTCCCCAAATTACCCATCCCGTTATGACCAATTGCTTAGCCAAATAGAATTGGGGTGGTTGAGACCCAAAAGCTTGCCACAAGTCTAAAGTACCTGTTGGTGGAGAACAGCAAGAAAGAGGTAAGGCAGAGCAGGGACAAAAGGAGCAAAAAGGAAATGCAAAATCAACATAACAGCTGCCACTTTCTCTCCAAAGGACAGCCTTCCCAATTGTCTTTCATGCACATGTCTCTTTCTAGCGTTTCTACATGTGTCCCCTCTGTGCATCTTTTTCCATGTCTCTTCTCCACGTCCCTGGATCCAAATAAAAATCCAAAAAGCAAGATCCCCCAGAGTCCACCTGCCTTCTGTGTTATATAGCTTCACCTGGCTGCTAAGCTCTGTCCCTACTTCCTGGTAGCCCCTAGCTCAGAAAGCCTGGTTCACAGCACATGATAACTTGTAATCCAAAGTAGATGCAGAGAAGTGGGGCTGGGGAAAATGCCATCTCCTCCTGTCATTACAAATTTCAGAAGCCAGTAATGCCATATCAAATCCAATTCATATTTTTGTTGTGATGATTTACTTCTTATCCTTAAATGTCTCACTGAGGTATATAATAAATTATCCTGTACCCCCCCCCCATTATTCCTTCTCAGGCTGGACTAGTAATCAAAACAGCATCAGATGATTAGCAAAGTAAAACCAATTAATTTAATGACATATAAATGGAGAATTCACATGGTTGTAAATTCTGAAGAGTAATTAAGAGACCCAGGGATCTTTACCCTGCCATTTAGGATTATCAAGTAGGGGGTGGGGAAGACAGGAAGGGGAAAGGGACTTCACATGATAGACAAAACAAGACAAGAATCTTAGATAGAGAGAAATGTTTACTGATAAACCTAGAACAAAACTACCTTCTTCTAGATCATAATAGGGAAAGGAGTGATTGCTTCTTCAATTAGGGAAACGCTTAGGACAGATAGATCTCTTATTTTATTAGAGACAGGCCATGGACTTAGGAAAGAACGGAGGCATCTCCTAGTCTTCAGGGCCTGCACTGCTTTCAGTCACAACAATCTGCATCCTTTAAGTCATGATAATAAGCCTCTTAGACTCACAGAACCTTGATTGATCTAGTTCTCATACCAACTGACAAAAGTCTACTTGGGCCTATTGATAAAGTCTGTCTAAAATTTTGTATGGGGCTGATCTCATAGTCTATACCAGAGGAAATCTGGATATAACCAGAGCAAGAAGATAGAGGGTGTTTCAGTTCTTTATCTGAATCTATGAAGATATCTTTCTATCCCTTTCTAAGAAGTCAATAGGGAATGAAAGGGAACATTGTTCCTGGATTATTTTGCTATTCCCTGCACAGCTATTCCTTCAGTCTCCTCTAAGCTGTAACTATGCCCTGGGTTATCCCTGGGTATTCTGTTTAATTGCATGCCATTTCATCCTTGTTCGGTAATTATACTTGTGCATGGTTGTAAGTGAAGTGATTTTCCTATATGTGCATTAAAGTTAAATTTTGCTCCTGGGATTTAGTGCATGTGCCTTCTAGTGGCATCAATAAGGAGCATGTGTGCTTCTTCCTGCCATGTGTGAGAGAAGAATATGGTCAATTATGATAGTGAAATTTACTAAATGTGATGATAAACACTTTTAAAGCAGCTCAACAAATGATTATGGATTTCACACTTTTGTTAATTGCTTCAATTTCTGACTGAAATAAAAATCTTCCACTTGCTTTAGTATTGCGGGTTGTATATCTCTAGAAAATATTACAAATATCCTTGAAGTATCTCTTACTGAGCACCTTACTCTTTCATTCCAACATTTTTGTTCTCGTAAATTTCCTATAAACTAACTACTGTTTTTAATTTACTCCATAAAAATTTATGTCGAGGTAAGTACACATATATACAGATAAGTACTTTCATGTATATGTATTTATCCTACAGTTCTGATTTCTGACATCAATATTTTTTATTATTTCACAAATTTATTGTGATTTTGAAATTCTTTATGTTCAAATACAGATTTGATTTTCATGTGATTATTCGGTGCTTCATAGAGCATCAATTGTAACACTGTGATACCCATAGAAAGGGAAGTTCCCTGCCCCACCCAAAGGAAGGGGGATGTGAGCAGCGAGGAGAATCTAGAAAGACTGGAAGAAGGAAGGCCAGAAGAGGATGAAGGGGAGATTGGAGGAGACTCATAGAGTAGAGAGACATGTGAAGAAGCTGTCCTTGCTTCTCTGCCTTGGACTTGTACCAGAGACTTGGGGAACATAGAAGAAAACACTTGAAAGGGACAGAGATGTGGGTGAGAGACCTGTGGGGAGGCTGACAATGGCAGCTATTATCTTGTCTTGTACTTGTATTTTGCTCTTTTCCTTCCAGACTTGCCTGGCCCCTTCAGCCCCTTTCCTATGGGTCCCCACCAGAAGGTGCCTTAGATTTGCGGCAAGTTTTCAGGCCTTAGTGGCCCTTCTTTGGGCCAACCCTTTTTGGCTGGTCATTTACCCACAAGGGGATGGATAAGTAGGTGTATAATTGGCAACTATTTTAACTATATTCTCTTCTTCTCTCTATTGCACACTAATCATATTAAAGTTCTTTTCTATTAAAGGTTTAAGCACCAAGAATATGTTTTGTCTTTATGTAGCAGATGGCAGAACCCATTTTTGATCAGGCAGATTTGGGGATCCTTGGGTGCCCCTCATTCTTCCCACTAGTACAACTATACTGTTCAATACTATTGTAAGACAAATAATACTTTACTCTTTTAATTTGTTTATATGTCTGTCTTTTCTATGGTCCAATAAGATACTTAAAGGGACTGTACTATGTTTGTGCTGGTTATCTTTAGCTTTTCAAAGTCCAGTCTTTACCTTTTCCATTCTGCTCTGTGCTTAAGAACGCTTCTGGTTCAGGTACGAGCAGGAGGTCCAGGCTCAGGCAGAATGAGACTGGGATTGGTTTCCTGACTCCTCAGAGTTGGACCATTCCATTCACGGATTTCTCGATTCTGTCCCTCAGACTAGGACTGGGAAAAACTCCCTATCGTTACTAGCTGTCCAATATTACATCATCTTTATTCCTTAACCAATTTCTTCTCTTTTGCCCAGTTTGAATGTACATTTCTTGAATTCACATTTGTTTTCTCAGGGCTCAGCATAAATTCCACATTTTTGTTGAATGAAAAAATGCATTTTTATCCAAAATTCAATTCTACAAACCATGATTCCTGTTCAGAAACAGCAGGAATCAAAAGCAGACATTGAACATTATTTCTATTGAGATTCTGTGGATGGTGACAGAATATTAAATTCTACTGAAGGCATGTATTCCTTTAAATACAAATAAATCTTTCCTAGAGCATAACTCTCTGTGTGGTCTTGGAGAGAAAAGACACAATATTTCTGAGACAATATTTCTTCAATTTTTCTTTGAAAGGTGGAACTCACCTTTCACCTCAATTGTTTAAATCTGATCCATTGCTAATAATATAACTAGTAACTGAAAATATTTTCAAATTGAATATCAAGAGATATATTGGAAAATATGCAAATAAATGACAGAGATATTAAAAAGGCAATTTTGAAACCAGTGCTTTTCTTTGTGCAGTTTAGTTCAGTGCAGTGTTATGTTTGGCTGTAATGAGTACATTTCAACTCTTCCCCATCTATGAACCAACTTTAATTACTAAAGAATGGCTTCTATTCCATAGAAAGCAAAACCTTGGTAGAGGGAGTTTCCAATGTCCCTTCTTAGTTTTATGTTCCTTCATATGTTCTTCCCTTGAATGCAATTCTCATCCTATTGTTTCTTTATATTAAAAAAATCACTCAAACATTGATTTTTCTCCAGATATGCACCAATTTTTTGTCCTTCTGTCCATTAACTATTTGTCATTGTTGAATTTCCTACCAAGGGAAAGGGGCAGAATAAGTTACCTCAATATGTACCACTCTGGTGTACTGGTTATTTTGAATTAATATTATTTAAGAAACATTTGGTACAAGGATACGCTGATGCTCCTCCGTCCCCAATGTAGGAAAACAGGAAAAAAGAAACTCTCCCTTTCTGAAAGGGTCAGGAGAAGATAGAGAGACTTCCTTATTACTATAGATAAAACTTATTACTTCTTCACTAATGTACTACCCAAGTCTTTCTTTTTGTTAATTCCTGTTAAAATGTCATGTCATTTAATTATTGGACCAGCCAAATAACCTAGAAGGGAAGGAGGGAACCATTTTCCTCCCATCCTATAAACTGTAACAAATTTTTTCCCTTTTAATTTCTCCTCTAACATGATCAATTTCTATAGTGTTTTATGTATATTCAAAGGCTGTAGAAACTAGAAAAGAATTGCTGATAAATATCTGATGGTTACATTATTATCTAATGATAGCAACAGTATTTTGTTCCCTGTGGACTATAAGACAGGAAATTACTTTCTTGTGCTTTTATAGTTTCTCACGTTGTTTTGCTATGCCTAAGTCAAAATCGATAATTCACTATTTCCTTTTGGTTCTCATTTTCCCATCAGTAAAAAGTAGATAAAAGTAATAATACTCATATGGTTGTTGTACAGATTAAAGAAATTAATGTAAGCAAAGCCCTTAGAATATTTCCTTGCTTTTAGTTAAGTGTTCCAAATATGTTAAACATTTTTAGGCTGATGTCCCAAAGCATTATCTGTACTTTTCAAAATGCATGGGTATTTTTCTTTTCTATTTCATTTTTGTAAAGATGGTATCATCTTTACTAAATCCTAAAAAGTAAAAGTATAGTTTCATATCTGATTCATCTCGTCTACAAAGTTTATATCTACCATCACAATAATTCTTACATTTTCAAGTATGCAATAAATATGTGTACAGAGAAGAAGGGATGCATTCTTATTGAGTATCTGTAAGCAGTACAAATTGATAACTTTGAAATTCTCCATTGCTTGTTTCTAAAATAAAATACTTTTATCATTTTGCTAAAAGATGTAAAACAAGCTGTAGAGTTTCAATTAGCCCTTGGAAAGCATGGCTATTTTCATGAAGTGTGAATGCTGCCTGAGAATGGAAACTTTAAAAACAGGAACTTCACTGAAAGTTAAGATTATACAAGGAAAACAGGACTGCGAGGAGATTAATCAAATCACAGTTCTTTAAGTGTTATCAAGATGTTACCTACTTTGTACAGACTTCACACTCAGGGGGAGAAGATGGCAAAGGAACATTCAATTCCCAGGCTTTTCTCCCTGGGGTTAAATAAAAGAAAAAAAAGAGCACGAAGATAAAATTTTACAACTAAGATTGTATAAGAATCTTTGCATAAAATAATAAAAATGAAACTAGACTTTCTATGTGGTCAGAGGGGCGATGTTTCTCTCTTTCCTATATATTAGGGGAAACACTATTTTCAAAGTTCCTTTAGACAAGATAATCTGTTAGGTTCTTTACAAACCAAATAAAGTTTAATTGTCAGCACTATTTTTTCTTTCACTGGAGATAATTTATTTGCAATCATCGCATAACCATTAGACTTTTTAAACAGCCAAATAGAGGCATTTGCTAGATGTTTTTCAAACTTACCTCATTTTTCTATTATTTTTGTGCATGACAAGAGAGAGTGTTTATGAATTAGAATTATAACAACTTTGCTAAACATTTCCATATTGCTCTTAAAAAAGCATTTTTTGGGGTTTTTTTTTGTGGTTAAGAAGTTTTTCAATTTTAAAGGAGAGTTGGTGAACTTGAAAGACTTTCTTTTTTTAACTATCAGAAATGGATCTGAAAGCATGATTCCATGAGGTGACTAAATATTTTGTTGTTCAGCTAGCAAAATCTTAGCCTGGAATTCACATTCTGGTCAAAAAAGGTGAAGAACTAGGAATTAGGCCTTTGTGGGTGTCCTGTCTTTTCTTTAAACATGCATTTTATTTACATTATTCAAGTGAAATGCTGATGGTGAAAGAATCAGCTAGTTTGGCAGAGAATGAAAAAGTTGTTTTAATTTCATTTTCAACAAACAAAGCAGAAAAAATATCATGTCTGCTACTGACACTGTACTTATAAGGTTAATTTCTCAAATTCAAAGATGAGGGCATGTAAGGATAAACAACCAAGTTTGTTAGTCCACCGATGTATTTTTTTTTTTTTAAATCTCTATAGGATTTCCCACACTACTGTGCTTCATTTTATATTCTAGAACTATCATTAAGAAAATTCTGCTTTATCTGTGTACTATATTTTACTCACTCTCCCCTAAGCTATTGTTGGTGAGCAATCAGGTCCCTAAACTGAAACCCTTTTGAATACCTGTGTCTCCACTCTCCTTACGAATACATTAAGCTATTCTCCATCTCATCTGCCACCAGTGAGCAAAGTAAATCGAGATAATATGCAAGCAAGGTGTTACTCCTTTACGATTTACACCTCTTCAAGTAAAGACACCTAATGTAAAGGTGAAAGTGTTGAAGAATCACCCTATGACTCTGTAGCTCATCAAGATGTGCTGCTCTACCCCAATTCTCATTTTGATTTATTTAAGTTTGGAAATAACAGTATTAAATTAGCAAACACAAGCAATGAACAAAGCCCTGGAGATGAATTAGCCATTGTCTCTGGTCCATTAATCTCCTCTTCAATTCTAGAGAATTGTGGTTCACCCAGACCCGAAGATCAAATAAAATGCCTAATTGGGAAAATCCTAAACAAGTGTGTCCTGGGGAGCTTAAATTTATTTGTCACCCGCTCAAACAACTGTGTTGTTTATATAAGTCTTTAAAACCTTGATACTTTTCCGCTACTATATCTTAATCCCTGGTTCTTTATGCTCAGGAGGGCAATTTAGAGTTGTTTTCAATTAACTAGAATAGAGAGGGGCACTTATTCCAAAAACAGATAGCTGTGTTGTGAGTATTTTGCCAAACATGCTGAGTGGTTTAGATCTAAGCATCAGGTTTGGGACATGCTCTGGAATCTCCTTGCCGATAATTATATCTGCTCTTTAGCACTTTCAATATCAGGAATAAGTGATTAAATATATACACAATTAAGGATATGGTATAGCACTATACACACATGTAAGTAAGGAGTTGAGAAAATTTATCCAGGATACCAATTCATATTAGACAATGATTTCATTTAAAGTCTGCAGATAATATGCACATAATTGAGGCCAAACGTTTTATTTATCATGGCACAGTGGAGTGAAAGTCAATGTGCTGACTTTTTTTTCACACAGGAGTGGGGTATATATATTCACAACTTAAAATGTAGATATTTTATGTTTAATAGAAAATGCAAAAAAAACTAGAAATTGCAAGTCAATTAACTAGCAGCAGAATGACTATATACAATGTTAATATATACTCTGTCTCAACAATGATTTAAAAGTAGCAGCTAACAGTATATTTTATTAATTGCATATTAAATCTTCACCATGAACCAGGGGCAGATCATATTACTAGTTTTATTGTATAGATGAATAACTGACAGCTTCTAGAAGTTAGACACTCACCCAGATTGGTCACCTGGTGGCATCAGAATTCGTTGTCAAGTCTGTCTGATTCCAAAGCCAATGGTTTTATTAGTAAACTACATGATTATTAACACGAAGGTTACAGACCTACTAACATTGTTTGCTGAAAGGATTATTAAATAGAGTAGAAGTTGAAAAGTATACTATTGTGCTTGGGTGAGACAGATGATTTAGATTTAGGGAGTACATGAAGCAACTCTCTAGTTAGCATATCTTTGCAACACTGAAAACTTACTTTAGTCTATATTGTATGTTTAAACTGATTTAGTTTAGGGCATTTAAGTTACATTGGCTTCCTCTAGTTCATCTCCTTATATTTAAGTGTATAAGTAAACTGCTTTTAGCAGCAGTTATCTTTTTTTAAGATTTATTTATGCAAAGAAGAACTGGGGTGTAGGCCAGAAGTGTGGGGGGCTGAGAGAATTTACCAGAGACAGAGTGGGGAGCAGATCAGGATGATTTACTGAAATACATAGATGAGGGGAACAGTGGATGAGACAGGGGAGGTCTGCTACGCCACATGTAGGTTAGTTCCCTGACTGGGAATTGAACTTGTGCTGCAGTGGCTGATGGCAGCTTGACAGAGCTGAAACTTAACCTCTTCGCCACCAGTGGAGAACCCAGTTACTATTATTGGAGCAAAATATTAATGTGCTTGGGAAGGTCGCATATGGATCAAGTCAGCTTATACATTATATACTTCATTACTCTATTATCTATCAGCAGCTATACAGTAGTTTGCTGTAAAGAAATACTGGAACTTATATTTAAGTTGAAGAATATCATATTTAAGATGAAGAATAGTGTAGAGTGGAGTTATATGATGATAATTATATTGGCAATTTAGGCATAAAATTTTGAAATATTGTTATTATATAGGCATATTCACAGCTATTTGACCATATATCGAATGGATCATTTAAACAATCACGTGACTATTCACAATATATTGTTTAGTTAACAAGGGACTTTTAGTTATGGAGTTTTACTCAATTCTCAGAATAGCTTTGTGGGTTATATATATTCTTTACAAATGAAGAAACAAGACAACCAGAGGTTAGTGACTAGTTTGGCCACAGCAATAAAACAGTTACTTAAAATAATATATAAGTAAGGGAACAAACACTGGAATGAGAGGAATTATCAAAATATTGGAGTGGAACATTGAGATGTTTTCTTTATTTGACTTTATCTTTTATAAAATTATTGACAAGGGTAGGTTTGAAACAGAAAGCTCTCTGCATTTTCATCTATTAAGGAGGTGAGGGAGAGAGCAAAGAAGCAGTTTTCATAAGGAACAAGATGATACTGACAGGTTGAAAATGACATAGTTTTTGTCTACACTAGCCATCATTTATGCAAACAGTTTGAAGTATTCAAAGAGTTTAAACAATTTTGAGTGGGATGCTAATCAGATTATCAAACCTTAAGAGCGATAAACATTTTGATTCCAAACCACTGCTTCACACCTTACTAATGGACTATGTATCAGTGAGCAACAGATGTCTGAAAAATGCTTAAATTTAAGATCTCTCTCTCTTCAAATAGTATAATCTCTATGTGTATTAATTAATGGAAGGTGGGTCGAAGAGTTGCCCATATCTGATGTTGGTAGGCCAATGAGGCCATTCTATTGATCCTGACACCATATTTATAAGAACATTAACAGAGTTCAGGCAGATGATGGAAAGATTATTTAGCTTTGTGCATAAAGAATTAATTATAATAATTGACTTTGCTTCTGTTTGTATGTAGTTTTTTACCAGTGCTTAACTGCTGTCTGCCTACTACAGATGCGGTCTACAAGGGAAGTATTATTAATCTCATTGTCTCATTAATTCATTTTAATAAAAATTTAATAAATGTGAAATTTATTAATTACTTTTTATGTACTAGACACTGCTTAAATTGGGGGATAGGCGCACAACCAAAAATGGACATAATCTCCTTTCTCATGAAATTTACAAATATAAGTCACAAGACATTAATCAAATCATGCAAAATAACTAAATGTGGAAATACTATTTTACTAATTGGTAATAGAAGAGAGGTATATTGTATTCTGTACTATGAAAACACAGGAGAGGAGAAATTAAATTAGTATGGCGGTCTGGAAGGGTTTTTTTTTTTTTTTTAAAGATTTATTTATTCATGCATACGAGAACCAGGATATAGGTCAGATGTGCAGGAGGGTGAGAGGATTCACCAGAGACAAAGCAGGGAACAGAACAGGCAGACTGACCAAAACACACTGCTGAGGAGAGCAGTGGACAAGACAAGAGAGGTCTGCTGCGCGATTTGTGTATCTCCCCAGCTGGCCGGGATCCAACCTGCGCTGCAGAGGCTGCAGACAGCTTCAAAGTGCTGTGGAAGAGTTTCCGGGAAATTAAAATTGAATGAAGGATGAATAGGAGTTAGGTGAAAATTAAAGAAAAAGTATGTGAACCATAGTTGTAACACATTTAAAAGTCACCTGTCAGGGAGAAACATGACAAAGGTAGTATCCGGGGAGCACAGAGATGATGATGGACAATGAGACAGTTAGCATGGCTAAGTGTCCAACCTTCTAGGATTTTAGTTTATTAATCCCAAATGTCCACTCTCACACACATTCAACAATTTAAGTTCTTATTTTAAACAAATGACTTTGCTAGGTGTGATGGTTAACTTTATATGTCACCTTGATTGTGTGCCCACATATTGATGCAAACACTATCACGGATGCTTCTATGAAGGTGTTTTCTCCATGAGACTTAGCCAGTGTGCTTTGTGTAAAGCAGATTATCCTCCATGCTGTGGGTGGGCCACATCCTATCAGTTGAAGGTCTTAAGAGAACAAAGACTAACTTCCCTTAAGAGGAAGGGATTCTTCTAGCCCATTGTCTCTAAACCTAAACTGCAAGTAATCCCTGGGCCTCCAGCTGCTGCCTAACCTGCAGATTTTTCTATATGCTAAGTTTCCAAAACTGCATGGACCAATTCCTTAAAGTTTCCTTCTCTCTCTCTCCTCATTTACATATATTTGTCATTTTGTAAGTTGTGTTTCTCTAGAGAACTCTGAGTAGTATGCTATTTTATTGTAAACATGGGACACCTATATATGTGGATACTTAAAGCAGAATTAAAAATGGATAGCAAAGATAAATGAAATAGAGGATGGCAATCTAAGGCTCAGACACGTAAGTAGCTTAAACAAATCTCTGAAAGGGTTATAAGAATGAGAAAGTGCCTAGGTAGACTCAAGGTGCTGGTAGGACTTGAGTTGGGCTGGAGGGCAGAGGAAAGTAGTCCAGGGTACACAAGAACAATAGCGCAGAGGGAGAAATCTGTAGGGGGTGATCACAAGACTATCAGGGCCAAATGCAATGGAGGCTTCTGGTTATAAACATGCAAACCTGACATTCATTCTTATGAACAAAGAGATGAATCGGAACCCAGAGCTCTCTTGTTTATAGATGAATGACACTGCGCGTGGGAGACCTAGATGTGTGGCAACCTCTCAGGAAAGGCAAGCTGATAAGAATTTCTTTATGAATTATTCAGAAAGAGAAAATTAAATAACGAATCCTGTAAGACGGTCTAGTTCTGTCTGGATTGTTTTCACCTCACAGGGGGATACAGGATAAGATGAGTAGAGCAAAAAGAAAGTGAAATAACCAGTCAGCCAAATATAACCAGAGAAACAGTTCTTGGACTCCCGGCGTGTGGACCTGGTGGAGAGGTGCTCCTGTGGGAGCGGTAAGCCACGCTTCTGTTCAGGGGATGCCAACCTGCCAGAGCAAACTGCATTGCCTCCTTTACTGCTCTTTTTGCAACTAGGTTAATCCTTCAAGTTGCTTCTTTCTTGCTTTCTGGAAAAGAACTTGGAGACAATTCTACTATAGGTAATGTCTGGAAAAAGTTCTTTTATGTGCACTGTGGTGCTTGGTGCTATAAAGCTGGTAAATTAGCCAACTTTGAAGTCGTCAGTTCTGATTTGACACTCACTGGGCTCAGTTTATAGAGGCAAAGAACCAAGCTGTCCCATAATGGGGAGGTAGAGAGTATAATTCTTATGGGCTGCTGTAGGCAGGAGTTTATTTGTTCCGCTGGTCCCAACTGCTCTAAATAACAGATTAGTGAGTTTATGCAACTGACATTTAACCCTGGGCATTAATTAAAAGTGGCATGCTGCGTCATTTGGGCAAGTGTGGTTAGAACGAGGTGATGATACTTAGAGAGAGCAAGCTGTGAAAACCTTTTAAAAACTCTTTCAGATACTTATGATGTACAAGTTTATTTAATTTAGTGACACGTATAATCTGGGGCCAAAAGAAATAACATCTCCCAACTGAATGGCATCTTGCCTTCAGCTGCTGTGGCAGTAAGAGAAGAGGGGTGGGTGGGTACTGCCATTATTCAGCTTCATCCAAATGTATATTAAATTTCTAAAGGAAGCAGGCACTGTATTCAGTAGTCGATCTGCCTCACGTGTTTGCTACCTTTCAATAATTGTATATTTAAACTTAAACAGATTTTACCGAGCCAGTTGTTGGGATACAGCTGTTGGCCAACAGCGATGACTGTCCTGCTCTCTTGGAAATTACATTCCAGGTAGCTAAAAAGAAAATACCCAAAAGTGGAGTATAAGTTTCATGATGGCAGGGGTTTGTGTTTGTTTTATCTCCTATTATAATTCTGTTATGTGGAATAGTCCTTGACGTAGCATATACACAATAATGTTTATTAAATGATTGAAAGGTATGAAGATGGAAAATTAGAGAAACTGAGTTACATGTCCACAGACCTCCATGCCGTGTCTTCTAGATTCTATTTATTTTCTAAAAATACTGTTTATACATTTATCTCCAAAAGGGGAGAATTATAATTTTATAGCTCAGTCCTTTCCCCATGTGATTTCTTGTCCAGAAACTGCAATTTCCTTTTTGTTGTTTTTTGGGGGTGTTAAGAAAATTCTAACATTAAACAAATTGCCAAAGCACTGACTATATAAGACACATTCTTTTAGGCACAGAAGATTAATAACAAAACAAGAAAAACAGTCTTGACGCTGTTACAAAATGGAGAGATAGATGATATATAGGCAAACAAATAAGAACATGTGAAAAGGACATATTAATAGTTTAATGAAGAAAAAAAAATAGGAAAATGTAATTGTGAAACAAGAGGAGGACCAGGGAGGACCAGGGAGAAATTCTCTGTGGTCTTGCAGGGTGGCAGTGTTGAAAGCGGTGCGGGTTGAGGGAAAGATTACTCAGAGTCTGAAACAGTGGGAAGTCTAAAGGGGCTACACCGGAAGAAATGTGCAGCCCCCATTCAAAGGCAGTCTCATATTAATTAGCATGGAGTACAAAGGTGGGGAAAGCATGTATGGAGTGTACATGTTGGGAGTGTAGGTGCAGGGCATGGTGTAGGTGCAGGGCATGGTGTTGTAAACTAAGGTGGAGTGACCAGGAGCTATTGCCTGGCGGGCTCCATTGTTGCTGCAAGTCAAAGCTATTATCTCTATTCTAATATCAGCCTGCCGTTTTCAGGTTTCCCAGTATGTTCCTCATACCAGGTCTTTTGCCGTTGGTGAGAGTCCACTTGTGTGACCCCACACCTAGCTGACAAGCACCAACAATATTCCAAGAATAAGGAGGGCCAGGGGTCCTACAGTTCTCTATGTTGGCAACATTTGAGTTGAGATGAGACTTGAATGATGATAAATATCCAGCTATAAAATTATATCATATAGAACAGTGTATGAAAAAATAGTGATGAGAAGGAAAGAGCTCAGCTTTTAAGCTAGCAGAAATAGTGCCATTTTGGATAGCAAATAGTACCCCAGATGGTTTGCTGATTTCCCCCACTAACCAAGAGTGTCCCTATGAAATCTTTCATAAGTCCAAATGTCACATAGTGATGAAGCAATTACCATTAACTTACATGGTAAAATTTTTAAGCATTCCTGGATAGCCAAAAGTAACCTACAAAATCATACCAAAAAGCACACAAAATTTACAATCACACTAACAGATAGTGGTGGTATCTCTCACTGCTTGGGGTGCACAATGCTCTAGAATAGCTACTGACTACTTATTTTTGCTTTTTGTTATAAAGGTAAAATTCCTCTTCAGATATCTTTTAGATTAGTGAAAAAGGTATTGACGCAAGCTTTCTGTACAACCTAAACACATAATGATGGAAGACAAGAATAGAAAAAAAAACTAAGAAAGGAGGAGCCACAAGACCAGAAACCTGGCTGACACAAGGAGGTGGGGGCAGAGAGATTAGCATAATCCACACAGTTGCAGAAACTAGTATCCCGAGGCTCAGATGACACTAGTATCCTGAGGTGCCAGTGCCTAGATTACAAAGCATAACTTCCAAGCAGGTATCAGACTGCTGTCTAGAGGACAGGCCCAAGGGTAAAGATATAGAGATTGAGTCCAACAGACCCCAATGGTAAAGATATGGAGACTGAGCCCACTGTAGAATCTCAGGTCCCTTTCAAATTCTACACAGTTCTCCAAAATTAGCAACCAACTAATGGCTCAAAAGGAGTGAGCCCTCCCAAACAGAAGACTGTATCAGTGCAGTCTCTGCACAGGCTTGGGACAGCAGTCCCTCTGTCCACCTGTGACTATGCAGGTGCCTCTTTTCACCAACTCTCTCCCTCTGCAGGGCAGCAGCCTTCCTGCCTGCCCGTGACCTGTCAAGGCCGCCTGCCTGCAACCATGCAGGCCTCTCTTAGCAAACCTGTCCCTTCTGGGCAGCTCTTCCTGTCCACTTGTGTCTATGCAAGTGTCTTCCACTGTTTTATCTCTTCCCTAATAAACCTGACATTTAAATGTAACTAACATCTCTGTCTTGTGGAGAAACTTGCTGGGGAACTCACCACGTGTTGCTGAAACAGGAGCTTTGTGAAACCTTTCCTAGAGTAAACCCAAGGACCCCGCACTCCAAACCCACAGACTCCAAAAACCACAACATGTAACACAAACTTTTGAAAAGGGCAGGGGGCCTGTATGTAGAGAAATGGATTTAACAAATTGAGAATAGGATTTGAATTTTATTTAAATTGCAGTAGGAAGCCTTAGGTGGCTTGGTTTTGGTGAGTAAGAAGGTCTTACTTATACTTGGAAAAATCACTCTCGCTGCCATTGGTATGACAGAGAGCGTCAAAATTGCCTGATAGATGAAACCAGTTAGAAGACTGTTGTACTGTTTTAGGCAAGAGTTAATAGTGGAAATAATGAAATCAAATCAAATCAGAAAGACATTATATTTTGAAGACAACTAAAGAGAATTATGGGTAGGTTAGCTCTTAGGGTGTGAAGAAAACAATCAAGAATGACTCAAGGTTTGTGGCTGAGTAACTGACTAGGAAGGATATATGATAACACAATGGGGTGAGATATAATTGAGTCAGAAGACTCTAAAGAATATAAAGCTGAGTCAGAAGAATCAAAAATTCTGTTTGACTATTTTAAGTTTCACTAATATTAATGTTAAATGAAGATTTATATTGCAAACTTATATTGTAAAGTAAGCAATAAGCATTGGATTTATGTAGACAGATATGAATCTGGAGGCAATAGTGACTTTAGAGATAAAAATTTCAAAGTCATTAGTGTCTATGTAGTATTTGAAACCAGGAGATTGAATGAAACTATTTAGGAGGAAGTAGATAGAGAAGAAGACAGATGTTTCAATGAATAAATCCTTGTATCAAGGTTGCAGAAACTGAAACTGGGGAATGTTCAGGAAGGTAGGAAGAAACATGTTGTGGAACAATCTATTATGGAAAGAAAGTGCTAGATTAAGTGATCTGAAAGAATAGGGGGAATGTTTGAAATCTGTATTTATAGCTGGTGTATGTTATTTGTTGAATTCCAAGTTTTTTTAAATTTATTTATTTATGCATACAAGAGCTGGGGTACAGGCCAGAGGTGTGGGGGTGGGGGGGTGAGAGGATTCACCAGAGACAGAGTGGGGAATAGAGCAAGCAGACTGACTGAAATACACTGCTGAGGAGAGCAGTGGGTGAGACAGGAGAGGTCTGCTACACCCTGTGGGTTACTCCCTGGCTGACCAGGGATCGAACTCATGTTGCAGAGGCTGTGGATTGCTTCATAGTGCAGTGCTTAACCCCTTGCGCCACCAGGGAGGCCCCCTGAATTCTAAGTTTTGCACCTGATCATGGGAGTGGGAAATTAAGGTTGAATTGAGGAAAAGATCAGCGAAGGGAAGGATGTCTAGGAATTTGGAATTCAAAGTCTTGTGATTATGTGCCTGGAGTTGTGGAGAAAAGGAAGTGGGTGAAATTGCTGTTCATGTCATTGAATTATGCTGCAGGGCATAATTCAAGGAAGAGAAAAACTAGAAGTGGTAAAGGATTGTCAAAATATGATGACATATACATCAAAGAAAATGAAATTACCGAAGGCTAAAAGAAATAGCTTGGAAGTGGAAATAGTGGATAATTCAGATGGCTCGCCCCTATTGTCTGGGAAAATTTAGTACCCCTTTTTACTTGTAAAAGGCTTGGGGATGGGCGTGGCATGGTTTCATACCTCTGAAGAGGTGTGATCCTGTGCCTCTGAAACATATACAGTAAACCAATGTCACCGCAATAAAAAAAAAAGTGTCCGAATTTTAAAATGGTCACCTTGATAAGAGGATACCTGTCTTTTCTTCCTAAAGCAATTGGGGTATGAATAAGGAAGAAAAAAAATCACTTTAACCTAACGGAAATGTAAGCTCATTTTTGCTCCATGGTCTGTCACATTTCTGCTAGAACTAAAAGGTGAAGGAACTATTTAGAGAACAGCAGACTTGTTAGTAATAGCTTGAGAGACTCAAAACACAGCCAAGAGTCTTGGGAGCTAGGGAATAAATGTCTGAGCGGGTCATTTAGAGGATGCGCAGAATAGAGTGAAAAGCATATGAGGTTTGGATACTTGATTATAACTAATCCTATAGAGCAAAGGATATCAGGATCGACTACCTCAAGGTGGTTTACTGATTTCATACAAAGCTGTAGATTTTGTGGAAACTGATTTTATGCAGTGATTGGGGACAGTGAATATTTTGGTGGTTAATCACCCTTTGGGGGAAAGGACTATTTCACAGAAGTAAAGGACCACAGAGATCTAAGTTTCATTATTTTTCAGTGATAATATAACACAAAACCAAACCACTTCATTGACTTAGTCTCTTAATTTATTCCCTTATTGATTATATATTCAGCAAAAAAATTTATGGATTGCTTGGGAATATATTTCCTTAGATTAAATTATACAAGAGGAAGTTCAGATGGTGAAAACTTACCATAAGAAAAGTTAAGAGATAACTACCATAGAGTGTACTATTTAATATTAATTAATAATATTATATTAACAATTGCCATTTACTGACTGCCTACAATAGTCCAGGGAATATTAAGCAATAAATACCTATTTATTTAATTCTGTGGGAAATGTCATAAAGTAAATATTTATTATCATCCTTTTACAAGTGAGGGGCTCAGAAGCAATTTGTTCATTGTCATTCAGTTTGCACCAACACAAAACGCAAACTGTTCAAAAAAGGGGCTATTTATATCAGCAGAGGCTATCAGGGAAGGTCTCTAGAAAACAATTTTTGCGTTGGCCCTTGGAATACACACAAATTTGAAATGGATCTGTAACAGGGTGGTCCCCAGGAAAGGGGGAGGGTCCCTGCCCCACCCAAGGGAGGGTGGAGCTGAGCAGGAAGAGAAGAAGCTGCAGAAGAGACTAAGGAAGGAAGCAGGATGGAGCCAGGAGACCTGGAGGAGGCGCATGGAGCCTAGAGACACGTGAAGAAGCTGCGCTTGTCTTTTGGTTGTGGACTGGGTGACACAGATGTGGGTGAGACCTGTGGGGAGGTGACAGTGGCAGCTTTTATCTTGATGTTGATTTTGCTCTTTTCCTTCCAGGCTTGTCTGGTTGTTTCTGACTCTTTTCTGTGGGTCCCACTGGAAGATGCTTTAGACTTGTGGCAGGCTTTGGGGCCTTGCTCTGGGCCAATCCCATTTGGATGGACTTTTACCCACGAGGGGACGGGTAACTTTGGGTGCTTCATTTAGAAACTAGACTCTTTGCCTTTCCTGTATTGTTTCCTAGTTTTATTAAAGTTCCTTCCCATTAAAGTCTCCTATGTTTTGTGTTGATGCGGCGGATGGCAGAACCCATTTAGAATAGGCAGGTTTGCGGGGGTTTGGGCTGCCCCTCTCCCTGTCCTATAACAGATTCAGGGCAATATGAACAAAGATAGAGCTGATTTTCAGAGGGTGTTTATATGATAAGAACATTATATTGACTGGAATTTTAGTGGGTGAAAGGCACAAGTGAGAGTGAAGATTCAAAACACATCTTAAGGCCAAAATGCAAGTAACATATACAATAAACAAAAATCTGCTAGGAAATAAGAAAAACAAGAATTCATGAACTGTGCAGCAACATAACATTTTTAGAAATCCTAAGCTATGTTTGTTTATTTTTTTCTCCAGCTGCTTTTTCTACCATTTTCCATTCCCTGCCTTCAAATAGTTAGCTCTATTTTTGTTTTCAAAATCTTAGGTCCTAGAGTGAAGTAAGGAAACAATTTGTGGTATGGATAATGTATCTCATTCATGAAAGGACAATAAATTTTTCTGGACACTGAACTCCTCTCAAGCTGAGTGAGGTGGGAGAAAAAGGAGGCAGCACTCGTGATGAGGTGGCGTCTGGGACATGCCGAGGTCCCTATGAGGAAGTCTTATCCCTGTTAGAGGATCAGGGGCAACCTAGCAGGAAAAGTAAAATGTGACCAAACAAATAAGTAAATACTAAACATGAAGAGGACATCTGTATCTAAAAAGATCTTGGCTGTGCAGTTGGACGTAGGGATGTATCATGGGATGACAGGGGTGTCGAATATGTGAATCTTTGTGGAGTTAAAATGTAAAATCCAGAGCTATTTAATAATTATCCCAGTAATTCAATGACACATTGTTTCAAGTCTGTCATTTGGACTAACAATCAAATTGAATTGCAGCAAATCTTCATCAGTATAATTTCTACAAACTTACTGCTGCAAAAGGTGTCCGTTAAAAGTATCCCCTGAGAACTGAAAGTAAGGACATTTCTGAGCCATAAAACATAGGACATTCTCTTGGTATCTGCAAGTTATTTTCCTACTCTGCAGATATGCTCTGTAACCAGAGAGATACAAAAGAATGTCAGAGAGTCCCTTAATGCGTATATTCTACCTGCCTTGAGAATTCTATCTTGTTAAACAGGTTTTACATTGCATTAAAATTTCTCACAAATGGTATGTTGTAGCTGAAGAAACAAGATATTATAGGATTCACATTTTGATCTAATAGGTGTTAAGTTTATTAACTGATTCATCAGTGATCCAATTCAATGAGCTCTACTGGTATCTTTTTAAAATAAATCTTATTATAAAGATTGTTATAATATAGGAAGAATATCTATAATTTGTTGACTTGGGCAAAGCCATTCCCCAATGATGCAGATATATTAAAATGACATCACTGTCATTTTACTTAACATGCTGTTGTTTCAGATGAGAGTGAGAAAAAGAGGTATGAAAGAAAGAAAACAATAACTAGGGCAAGAATGTAGATTGTTACCTTTTTTTTCTTCACTGATAGTATAAGTTATTACTCCACTTTTGGTTTTAAAAAAAACTTTAGGTTAACTCTCGTAAATGATTGTCATTTATTACATCGGAGAATTTGGCATATAATTATGGAGAGTTTATTGGGCTGTATGCTGCTGATAAATCTACAAACAGCAACTGTTGCCATTTCTCTCAAATTCATTTTCCATATACTGAACATTTTAATTTAATTTCTTTTTTTTTTAATATTTGGCTAGAACAAATTTTGCCTGGCTGAATGGGGCTTAAGTATTAAATTTTTTAGGAAACAGAAGGGAAAATGTATTTATAAGTATATCCTGGGATATGATTTTAATTTCTTTGGATCATCAGTATGATTCTTTGGAAACTTGGAATTATTTACCTTTTGAACAGTGAACAGGTACTGAAGAGTTGAAGAGTGGATGCGAAGTGGAGCAATGCTGGGGATCTTGGTCCAAATTGTTTTATTCATTCACCACTTACATGTGCCAGTAAACTTAGTTGCTTTGATATTTTTAGCATTGAATTAATCTGAGGAGAAAGATACATGGATATAATTTTTCCTTTGGAACAGTTTGTCATCTGATCAACAGTTTATATTACTTTAATTGAGATTTCCCATTAAGCAGACGTTCCTCTGCTGCCTGGCTTGTTCTGACAATGTTGGCATTGTTCTTTTGGCTTGTGTATGGTATACTATAGTTTATCACTGAGAGCTACACTTTCTGAATTATTATTTTAGCAGTTCTACTCATTTATGCATACTTCAGCTTTTCTTCTTCAAGATTTTATCTGGGGAGGGATGTTCTGTGAGTTAGACATGTCTTTCTGTAGAATCATTTAAAAACTTTATTATGTAATTTTTCACATCAATATAATTACATTTTAAAGAAACTTTACAGACTATAGTTAAAGTAATAAATAAAAACCTCTAAGGGTTTTTTTTTAAATTTAAAGTTATGTATTCTATTTCTTTAATAGTAATAGGTAGTAAATTTTGGTAGCTGTGTGCTTTTTTTTTTTTTTTTTTTTTTAGAAATTAGTCCTTTGGTCTATTTCTAAAACAAAACTAGTAAGTCACTAGACCTGAGGTCACTAGGAAATGAATTCATTTCTTGACTGAACTATTATTCAATATCTACATTATTTCTATATGCACATTCTTGTATTTTCATTGATGCAAATAATCCTGGTATTGTAGATAAGGGTACACAATCCATTTTTCATTGTGGTCCACTGTCATACAGAAAACAAATACACTTGAGCCCCACATGCAAATTAAAACCCCTATTTTATTTTATATTTTTTAAAGATTTATTTATTTATGCATACAAGAGCTGGGGTACAGGCCAGAGATGTGGGGGGTGAGAGGATTCACCAGAGACAGAGTGGGGAACAGAACAGGTAGACTGACTTAAGTAGACTGCTGAGGGGAGCAGTGGGTGAGACAGGAGAGGTCTGCTGCGCCCTGTGGGTAGTTATCTGGCCGGCCAGGGATTGAACTTGTGCTGCAGAGGCTGCGAATTGCTTCATAGTGCGGTGCTTAATCTCTTGTGCCACCGGGGAGGCCCTAAAACCCCTATTTTAAATATACATTTTTTTCTTTAAGGAATGGGAAAAAACTTCAAAACTTAAAAAAATTAACTATGCAGAAATTATGTTTTTGTATATATCGATACATAGGTATAACAATTGTAATATTTCTCAATACTAAAGTATGGTTTACAATTTAGATTTAAGCAGATATTTTTTAAGCATGTGTACTCTGTCAATAAATATGATAATATTAATACGATGATAAAGTTATTAATATAGTCATATTTATTGACAGAATACACATACTTAAAAATATCTGGTAAAGCAAGCAGTTACTGTGTACTGGGTTTTAGCCATGAATCCTTTTGTCTGTGTACCTAAGATAGATTTACAGAAGAATCCAAGTGCCTCATAGCAAGAGTATAAAGTACAGTCCTAATGTTTTTGGTATAAATGCTTAATGCATTACTTGACCAATAATAAAAGGTGCTTCTCTAGGGGTATGAGTGGAGATGAATTTTGATAGCTAACTTATCTTAAGGGCACTCATGTTTGGTACAGTGATTACAGTATCTGGATGACTGAAACTTATTTTTTGGTAGAGGGTGGAGCGTGGGTATGTTTTTGAATTTTGTGATGCTCTTTAGTACAAATATTACTGGTAACTATATATCTTGCTTCCTTCATTCTTTTTACCAGTCAACTTCTTTGGGATATCTGCCACCCACCCAAGTTCCCTCTTTGTCTTTCAGAAGAGGTGCCTTTACCCAAAATGGCCATGTCAGTGCACTTATTCAAGAACTGCTGTGCAGATCTGCTAGTTCTCCAGCAGTGTTTCAGCGTAGCATATTCCCACTGGGAATGGTGAGGATTTCTTTTCTGAGATACTCTTGTTTGCGTTCCACCCTTGCTTGCATCCCGATATGCTGTCCCATTGCCTGAGCCATCCTTACCTGTCTCTCTGCTCATATATAGACTCCAAACCTAACTCTGGTTCTGCTTGTTTTACTTATTTTCTTTCACTTACATGTAAGCAGCATTTGTAATATTCTCTTTCTCCTATTTATATTATAGACCTTGGGTGTGGGTGGTTTTATTTATTTTCTTTTTTTATATATGTTGGTTTTGGAGAATGGTGCCATCTCTTCCCTTCGCCTACCTGCTACTCGTCTTTTGTGTCTGAAAATAAATATCTCTTTTAGGATGCCTTTTCTGACTTCTTGTGTACTCCCAGAGAGCGCTCATCACAGCACTTACCATACTGAACTGTAACCACCTTTAACTCCGCTGTAATCTCCTTTATACCGTTAGCTTACCGAGGCAAGTTTTCATGGCCATTCTTTCTTCCTTTCTATTCAACACAGAGATTGACAGCTATTAGACCCTCAATAACTATACCTTGAGTGAATGCCTGTATTATTTCTCAGTAAGGAACCAAGAGGGCATCGTCTGTCCCTTGTGCAGGCAATAAGGGATGCATGTCTGCAGAGAATGTTAATACAATAATAAAGCCAATCAAAAGTCCATCTACTCTTAATTTTGCCTTATACCAATATTGGCAAAGAATGTCATGATAAAATGCACCTCTCTGTTGGGGCAGACCCCTCTCTCTGTGCTCTACCACTGTTATTTTCATAGAAAATGATAGACAATTTGTTATAGCCTAACTCTCTGTCTCTTCCCATTCCTTTTTCAAGAGTCACCGCCTTCTAGACAATATTCAGAAAGAAGAGGATTTATTTTATGCTTCTAGTGTATATATGAAATATTGCTTCCTCTGGTGTTTCTTCACTGCTTTCAGCTTTCCTAAGACAAACCCACCCTGGTAGTGACTGCAATTCAAGGATTCAATCCCCTTAGAAAAGAGGAGGTTCTTGAAGGTGTGTCACACTCCCCTTTACTGCTGACTGAGATGACCCTGAGGTTCCCCTGAGATTGACTAAATGTTAGAAAGATTTCTTCCTAATCTTAGGCCTCTGATCTCCCTTTTGTTAGAAAACTTGCAATTGTAAAGTTTGACATGTGAATTTCAAATATCAAATACCCCTTTGATATGTGACTTTCTACAACCCAGGAACGTTTTTGTCCAGTGCAATTTTTCTTTTGCACTTCCTATGTTTTTCTCAATAAAATTATAAGTAAAATAATCTAAGTTTAAACAAAACACAAACTCCAACAAACAAAATAAAAACACTGAGAAGGAAGTTACGAAATAGATCTTAAATAGGGTATTCTTAGTAACTTAAAAGTTTCTTCATAACAGCAAGTCTAGTCAGAAGTGTGCCTCTCTTCACAACCTCATTCGATGCATTCAGGTATGCATCTAAAAACCGAAAGTGATAATGGCAACAACAATAACACAACAAAGCCTCACCTTTTATTGTCTTCTTTCCCCGAGCTTTAATGTGTTATTATTCCTTCCTTTTGGGAAACTTCATTTTTTATCCTCAAGAACTTTTCTTCCTATAGTTTTCCCTTCCCACATTCCTGTTATAATACATTTATTTAAGCTGCAATATTCAGCCAATAGTACTTTGACACTCTAGGGACAGTGTGGGACATGGCACACTTCATGAAATATGTGGAAAGTGGAAAGTGTGTGCTTTCCACCTCCTCTTAGAGTTTCCATCCCCAGCATGAGTTTCAGACACGATTATTTATTTGTAAAGTGTATGTGTGTGTGTGTGTATGGTAACTGCTGAATCTCACACCCAAATACATTTCCTAAATGACAAACATTTATTCTCAGAGACGGTACATTCTAAACCCACAGGGAAGAAGAGATATATATTCCCATTGCCTCCATAATTGAGAAGGCTGCCACTTTCACAAGGAAGTCAGATCTTCACATTATCATGCAGACCACTGCTAATTCTTTTCTTTTTTTTTCTGTCTCAATTACTTTGTGCCTCTTTGGCTGGTCAAGAATAAAACGGTATTCTGGAGTCAAAAACAACACCTTTTTCTACACAAATTTCTAAAGGCAGCTTTGACAGAGTATTTGCAATTGCTGAATAAAATTTTAGCTAATGACTATCCTTAACTCTTTAGAGGGAGAAAAGATTTTACTATTCTCTTCATGTAAAAGAACAAATAGTTCGTTAAGGATTAAGACTGAAGAGAGATGTCTGCAGTGAACAGTCACATCTGGAATGGAGCTGGGGATGTGAGGACCAGACTAAGTGTTGTCTCAGCAGGGAGAAGAGACAGAAACCACTGGAAAGGGTGGGCAAGACTGAGAAATAGTAAGTGAAAAACTGCCATTTCAGCAGAGGGCTATCTTCCCTTCCCCCACTGACTCCAGGGTGCACCTCTGCAGCCATGGGACACAGAATGCATACTTCTCTGGATTAGCATAACCTGTTCCACTGTTCAAAGAAGGGCACCCTGGCAGCTGGTGATATGTTTCAGCAGGAGGAGAACCAACTGTCTATCCCCTGCACAATCCCTGGACTCCTAGGTTTGCCTGTGTCTGCCTTGGGGAGCCCTGGAGTCAACTATCCCTCCCTACTACATGAGATTGGTCCTGACCCCAGAGTTCATGGTAAGAATCTGCGAGTAACCTGGGAGAACCACCTGTAGAGCTATTTTTTTTTTCTGCCTGCCTTGGGGAGTCAGCATAGAACTGGATGTGAACTCTGGTGCTTTCACATTCCTGAGCTTCCCTGCTGCAAGGGAGAGTGCAGGCTCTTTTGCCACATCACTACTGGCTTTATCTGCAAGGAGCTCCTAGATAGATATCAGAGTCAGGGAAGCCTCCTAACCTTGCCCCATGTGACCTCCAGACCTGTTACCAGAGTGTGTAGTCACAGACTGTTAGTAACCATAGTGAAAACAGCCTGCAGACAAAGGGCATCCTAGCAACTGGTGGCCAGTATGGGGAGTCAGGAGTGATAGCCCCGCCCTGTAGGGTGCCAACTCAGGTTTCCTCTGAGGCTCCCAACATACTACTGCTGGAGAGAATAGAACTCCTAGGGAAAGGATGTAAAACAGCA